ACAACATCATGATCTAATACCACTCATACAGGCCATGACTCATTTCTTGCTCTGCATCAGCTGTGTATCTGTTTGAGTACACAGACAACGAACCTCAGGGAAGATCTTCATGGTTCTTATTCTTCATGAATATTTTCTGTCCTCTGCTCTAATTTCCCATGGCCATCCTGCATCATTGAACTGCTTCTTTGTCCACTGTTTTCTTTTTTGACAGAATCTTGATCATTGTCCTATGTAAACCCTGCAACACACTTTATGACATTGGACCCAAGTACACATTGTATTGTGGTATGTACATGCGGTTGGACTCGTTTCTTGCTCTGCATCAGTTGTGTATCTGTTTCAGTACACAGACAACAAACCTCAGGGAAGTTGTGAAGAAGTTAATGAAGATCAATATGAAGAAAGTTAGAGTGTGGCCCAGATGTCGAGAGCAGAGAAACTATCCTTGGACCAATCAACGCACAGAATAATTTGTGGGCAGTTTGCTACTCACCTGATGGCAGGATGATGGCCATCGGCTTATATATGGCGTTCAAAATCTTGGACGCCAGCGGACTGCTCAAAACAATAGAAGACCACCGCTTGCCAGTGAACATGGTGCCTTTGCATTAGTCAGCGGCTCTCGATGTGAAAATGTTTTCCGTTTGCTTATCTCTATCTATCCAGATTAGTAGAGAATGCCCCTCTTTTCCGCAAAAACAACCGTAGTCAACTTGATATGACGTCCTTCTATTCCCCCCATACTCCACTCAAAGTCGCGCTTGTTTCTTTCTCATCAACTACGATCGCCAGTATCGTTGGGACTAGACATGACGTCCGTGCTTGATACCACCGCCATCGGAAAGGTTCAACGCCCCCGCAGACATGTCAGGACGCTTACCGGTATGTCCAATCCGTCAGGTGTTTCCTCGACAAGATAGGTGATATATTTCAAACAGGATACCTACCAGAAAAGGACTCCGAAGGCAAGGAAAAGTGGCCTAGAGGCGAGGAGAAAGTGTGGAAGGATGGATTGAGAAGCCTTGATACAGGTAGCTTATCAGAACACCCAGTTCGTGTATCGCTCAACCACCTCCTACAGGCGTGTCATCCATTACCAAATCGATCGTCAACCATGTTCAAACGTCTCTGGCTCGCCAGCCACACGAGATCGACAATTTCGGAGCTTACCAGGCTGCAGCTCTCTCCGTCCGTGATAATCTGATCGTATGCCCCCTTATCTCATATCATTCCACCCACCCAACATCATCTCCGATGCACAGATCAACTGGAACGAAACACAACTGCACTACTCTCGCACCGCAGGAAAGCGGGCGTACTACTTATCTCTCGAATTTCTCATGGGCCGCGCGCTCGACAACGCCCTCCTCAATCTGGGCCTCAAGCAGCAATATACGGAGGGGGTCGACAAACTTGGCTTCAATATGGAAGATCTCCTAGCACAGGAACGTGACGCCGGGCTCGGCAATGGTGGCCTCGGGCGTCTTGCCGCATGCTACCTCGACTCTTCCGCATCCCAGGAGCTTCCTGTATGGGGTTACGGCCTGCGCTACAGGTATGGCATCTTCCAGCAGCTCATCTCTCCCGACGGACAGCAGCTGGAAGCGCCGGATCCTTGGCTGGAGAATTCGAACCCATGGGAGCTCCCTCGCATTGATGTTAGCTACGAGGTGCGGTTCCACGGCTTTGCAGAACGCTTGAACGATGGAAGCGGTCGCGCTATTTGGGAGGGTGGTCAAGAGGTTCTCGCGGTCGCTTATGATGTGCCCATTCCTGGCTGTAACACGCGCAATACGAATAATCTCCGTCTGTGGGAGAGTAAGCCGAAGAGGGGCTTTGATCTAAACAGTTTCAACGGTGCATTTACAGCGACATCGTTGCGTCCTTTACTCAAGTGATGAATCTTAATTGCAGCGGGAGATTACGAACGTGCCGTCGAGTCTTCGAATAGCGCAGCAGCGATCACATCCGTCTTGTACCCCAACGACCATACCACCTGTAAGTATCCCTAACAATATGAAAAGTGCGTTGTACTTAGAGGTCCGTTTCAAGTTGGAAAGGAACTTCGTTTGAAGCAGCAGTACTTCTGGACTGCAGCCAGTCTCGCGGACATTATGCGGAGGTTCAAGAACATCGGAAGGCCCATCACAGAGTTCCCTCAATGTATGCGATCTTGTTTCACTCCCAATTATCAAAGCTCATATTCCTTCTAGACGTCTCGATACAGTTGAACGACGTAAGGCCGATATATGCATATGCGCGTACTAAGACTAACTATACTTTACTGAAGACGCACCCGACCCTCGCCGTTCCGGAGCTCATGCGACTCCTCGTTGATGAAGAAGATGTTCCATGGAATGCTGCTTGGGACATCGTCACAGAAACTTTCTTCTTCACCAATCATACTGTCCTCCCGGTAGGTCGAGATAATGTCAAGTTTTCGTGATATAAGTGTTGACACAAGACATTGATGATAGGAGGCACTTGAGACATGGCCTGTACCCTTGATGGAACATCTCTTGCCCAGGTGAGTGTCATGTGTTGTAACGATATGGTGGCATTAAAGCTATCTGTAGGCACATGCAGATCATCTTTGATATTGTGAGTCTTGTGTTATACCACTGACCTCTTTACTGAATCACATTGGATTTCAGAATTTGTGAGCAGCGGAAAATGTTGTCTTGTACGCTGACCTAAATATCGGACCATAGGTTGTTCCTACAGTGTAAGAAAGACAGACTCAATTCCATATCGAGCGTCCGGCTGATCTTTTCAACAGCTGTCGAACGGAAGTTCCCTGGAGATAGGGAGCGGCTTGCACGAATGTCATTAATCGAAGGTATTGTGATGTTGTAACTAATGATTCACGACTTAAATGTTTCCTCAGAGAGCGTTCCTCAGAATGTTCGCATGGCTTACCTGGCATGCATCGGTGAGTTTCGCAGGACTCATTTCATATTCCTACTAATGTGCGTGTGCATAGGCAGTCGCAAAGTCAACGGCGTGGCCGAGGTAAGTCTTCATCGAGTATCCACCGTCCGTCTGAATATGTGGCATTATCGCTCCTCCAGCTGCACAGCGAACTGGTTCAGACGACTATTTTGAAGGATTTCGTAGAGTTCTATGGAGTTAGCAAGTATGTTCATTCAGCAAATGAATAGTCGCACACTGACTGTGGTTTGCGCGCAAGGTTTGGAAACGTGACCAACGGCAGTGAGTTCCATACCCTCGATGCATTTCTGCTTCTCATCATCTTGCAAAGTCACTCCTCGTCGGTGGCTGGACCAGGTATGTGGCTATCTTAAATAGGTGTGACATCGATGCTAAATCACACATACCAGTGTAACCCCGGACTCAGCAGGCTCATCACCACGACCCTGAATATAGAGAAGAGCGTGTGGCTCAAGGACCTCACCAAACTCGAGGGTCTTCTTGATTATGTCGAGGACGAGGACTTCAGGGAAGACTGGGCAGCTGTAAAGCAAGCTAACAAGGAGAGACTTGCTCATCACATGCAGGTTACTTTAGGTCTCAATGTCAATACTGAAGCCATGTTTGATGTCCAGATCAAGGTCAGTCGGACATATCATATTGCGGAACTTGAGGGCTGATTAGTGTTTCAGCGGTTGCACGAGTATAAGGTACGTAGACACCAATGTATGTCCTCTCGAAGTCCGATCCATTAGTCCTGTTAGCGCCAAACTCTCAATATTCTTGGTGTCATTCATGTGAGCATCATCAACAGTTTGATCGTTGAGTTTGCGCTCAGCTTTTTCTAGCGTTACCTTGCGCTGAAATCTATGACTCCCAAGGAGAGGAAGACAGTGACCCCACGGAATGTCTTCTTTGCAGGCAAAGCCGCCCCAGGGTGTAAGTAATTGCGCGCGTCTACGATTCCATCGAGCTAATCGGCATCTAGATTACATCGCCAAGCTGGTTCGTTCGACGAGCGAGACGCATAATCTTATGATGCTAACGAACTTCTAGACCATTCGCTTGATCGTCAACGTGGCTCGCGTGGTTAATTCTGATCCTGACATAAAGGACTGCTTGAACGTCTTCTTCTTACCAGACTACTCAGTCACCTTGGCAGAAGTCCTTATTCCAGCTTCGGACATCAGCCAGCACATCTCCACCGCAGGCACAGAAGCTTCTGGCACGTCCAACATGAAGTTCTGCTTGAACGGCGGGCTTTTACTGGGCACTGTTGGTGTGTACTAGTGTTATCCAGTGCAATAAAGATCTGACTGTTCGGATAGATGGTGCGAACATCGAGATCGCGGAGGAAGTTGGCCCTAGTAATGTTTGTATGTAGTCTCGCATTTATTACCTATGCTACGGACTTACTGTTCTCTCGTCGCAGTCTTCTTCGGTCACCTGACACCCGCAGTGGAAGACCTTCGTTACCAACACGTATACCACCCCGTTCCTGTCGAGCAGAAGTCACCTGCTCTTGCACGAGTTCTTAACGAAATCTCATCTGGGTTGTTTGGCGACAGCGTGTACGAACCGTAAGTAATGCTCCAGCAAATATATTATGAAGTTCACTAATTTCTTTGAACAGCCTGCTCAACACGATTCGTCAGGGAGATTATTATCTTATTACTGAAGATTTTGACTCCTGTGAGCATCTTATTGTGCGGGCGATAGCGTTCCTGATGAGCCCTTTTCAGACATCGAGGCTCTTCGTATGGTAGATGAAGCCTATAATGACCGAACGGAGTGGATTAAGAAGAGTATCAGGACCACTGCAAAGGTATGGTTTATCATTTTCAGTAAGAAACGGCAAACACCGAATAATCCACGATTTGGAACAGATGGGCAAGTTCAGCTCTGATCGTGCGATCCAAGATTACGCGCAGGAGTACTGGAACATTGAAAGCACCAAGGTCGAGTAAGCATCCGAGAAAGGCATATGGGATATCAAGGAAAAATGGTGGGGCCGTGTGCGGGCGAATGACGATCCAAATGACAGTTGTATGAATAAAGTGGAATAAGGTGATATCTGGAATCCTGGATATAACAGTAAATGTAGATTAGTTGAGGCTAGCGAAGGAGGTATGGGTGCAGATGGGGACCAGTAAATGACAAAGGACAGTTGGAGGTTTCGCAACCAATGATCAAACATGAAATGATAAAAAACAAACCAAGAACCAATCAAAAAGGTAATCACGATGGATCTTCAACACTGCCCTCAATATGATGGATACTCCTCCGAAGAGATGTCCGTATCGTCCTACGCATCGGAAGATGATGGCGGTTCCATGGACGCCGCACCACTGGTATATTCGATGGGTTTCGACCCAGCAGCGGGTAATATGGGTCCAACGGGGGGTTCCTCCGGAATTTGGGCCCCAGCAGCTACAGTAATCGAAGCGTGTGCAAGAGTAGCCTCGGTGCCTTCACTAGTGGGCACCTCAGAGGGCGTTTCCTCCACAATGGAGGTCTGTTCTTCTGGCCCGATGAGCGGCTCGTGTAAAGCGTCTACTATGGGGACTGCAGGGAGAGTATCATCCGATGCCGGCGTCTCTGGAGTTCCAACAACGGGCGCCTCTATATCATGTATAGGCTCAGGCACTGTGGAGACGACCTCTGGTTCTTCAACAACCGCTCGTTCGGGCTGCAAAATAGATTCCTCGACAAGCGTAGCCTCATATTCTGGAACAGATTCATCGGTGATGGCTACGAGCGCGACGGACTCGCCAGTCTCAGGGGTCTCCTTGTCGAGAACGTTGTTGGCTTCTTCGACCAAGGTTTGTTCATGTGGCGCTGCTACAGAATTGTCCTGCCGAGGCTGCAGGACATGTTCTGTGGGTGCGGCTACGGCAGGTGACTGAAAAATTTCCTCGGGGATAGATCCCTGTGATTGTGCAAGCGGTTGAACAGCCTCTGTGGCGACTGCACCAACTGTGGCAATAGCAGCGATGCCCAGTCCAAGTTCCTTACTTGTACTCGTCACAGCCGTCGGCGTCTCAGATCTATCTTCCTCAGGCAAGATCTCACCAAGCTCACCGACCTTGGGCGACTTTCCCATTATACCCTTCTTGCCCTGTCAAACCCGTCTTACTGGTCCCACCAAAAAAGCTGAATCGCTTCCTCGTAGCAGCAAGCGTGCCAGAAATATCTGAGCGGAACGAAGGGCGGGGCGACGTGCGACCACGGCGCTCGGGAGACGTCGTGCGAGGCTGCGGGGGCTGCTGGCGTACATACGTCTGCTCGACGATGAGCCAACTGACAGCTTCATTCGTAGGCAACGGCTTGAGCCCACAGATAACAAATGAGGGCCAGTTCTCCGTGATGGGGTCTGTAATGGCGTCAGACCAGAAATCAATGAAGGCCTCATCAACTTGTGTCATGTGGACACTCGCGAGTTTGGTGCTGAGGACTGCGGGCTCTTTGGTGCTCGTCTCGTATGGGGAGTCAGCGGAGCGTTGTCCCGAGCGTGACCTGCCCCATCTCTTACTCGACTTAGGGAACGCAAGCGGCTCTGTAATCTCAACATCTTTGTCTGTATCGAGGAGCGTTGCAGCGAGGGGTGTGACTGAACTTGTTTCACCGAAGCCGCTAGTGGAGAACTGTGCCCAGTCGCTGATAATTGGCGAGGAAACAGATGAGACGGGGGACGTTGCACTGTTCCCGTTACCGTTTCCATGGGCAGCATTGTCCTTACTACGATCGAAAATCTTGTTAAAGGGCGAAGAGCGTCTGGGCACGGGCGATGCCACTTCAATCGTTGGAGACATGATTGGAGAAGAGGCGTTACGAGATGTGGACGCGAGGAGGTGGATCGTCTCATCCACGAATACCCGACCGAACTGTGGGCCATCCTGAGCACCAGCTGCCGAGGATGTAGAGGTAATTTCGGTGGCGGTAGTCTTGAGCGCGTTCCACAACTCAACATGCTCAAAGGTTTTACCTTCAGAAGATAGGTTGAATGCATCCAAGAGAAGGCGAACGGGCGATGGTTTGGGTTGTGGTGCAGACTCTGACAGAAGGACTTCTATGCGCACGAAGAGGACACTGCAGCTCCGCGTAGAGAAGCGAGGATGGGGAAGAAGACCCTCTTCAATATCGCGTGAGCCCCTCGAATATGGATAGTGCTTGACAAGTTCCTGAAGTCGGGTGGGCAGTCGAGAGTTGAAGCTTTCCTCCCTGTGCTACGGTCAAACACGCCCTCAGCTTCATGAGGCGTACATACCTGATTCGTGCAAGGAACAAATGCTCCAAAATCCGGCCAGCGCGTTCCCATCGAGCATAAAAGGTAGTCCAGTTGTCGGTTTGCTCGGTCCTCGTCGCGGTGAGTAACCATAAGCCCAAAAACTTGGAAAGCTTGCTACCAGAGATGCTGTTCGCTTCAGCATGCGAAGCTAATGCGGATATGATGTCAACAGTCGCAAGAAGCAATTCGATGTGCGCTTGAGGGAGCTTGGGGAGGAGCAACTCCGTGAAACTCTTGGGTGGATACGATGCCCCTTTTTCAGCATCGAAAAAGGACTTGTACCACGCCCATTCAGGTGCAGAGACATCCTTGCCGAAGGAGTTATTTTCAAGCACAAGGTGACGAAGGCCCCAACGGAGGACAGCTGCAACATCATGAGGAGAGCGGGTGTACTCGAGCTCAGCCTCAAAGGCGGATATTGCCGCGACAGGCGTTGGAGAGAGTGCGGTTGTGCGGCTTTTGGGAGCCAAAGAATGGATAAAGAGCGAGATCAGCTTTCGTTGAATATCGGGTGACGCAGAGTGCCAACGAGGGTGCATGATTCCAAGAGTTTCCAAGCCTGAGACGATCACCAACGTTAGATGATTGTATGTTAATTAATTAGTAATAACTTACCTCGCTCAGTGATGGTCTGGGCACAGGCTCGAACAAGTATAAGAGCTTCCAAAGGATTCAGGAGCTTTGCACCGATGACAGAGTCATCGAGAATCCTTTGAGACTCGGGATCAACTTCGAAAACGCCAAGTTCAAGAGACTCTGCAGTGTCTTTCAGACTTGGAAGGTGGAGCGACAATTGGGGAAGGTTCTCCGTGCGTTTATGCGAAGAGTGAGGGGAAGTAAAACGAGATTTAGGCCTAAACAACGAGAATCCTGCATGATCTTTATCCGTCTGATGCTTTGACAAGGTGTTAATATTGGGAGCAGTAAAGTTCAGTGGAGAAACAGCCTCGTATTTTCCGTCCAGTAAGCCGTTGTCATTAGAGTCCTGAAAAGGCTTTGCTTGGATTCTGTCGTCACTTGTCTTTCTGCCAAAGACCTTGTTCAAGAACGAGGGCATGGTTTAACCTATCGCTTGGATCTCAGCGAGAGAACCGAATGAGCTGGATGGTTGCAAAAGCAGGCCATGATCAGGAACTTCAAGTTTAACAACAAATCAAAGAATGAAAACCTACAGATTTCGCGTTTTTGAGTGGCGCCAGAGTGATGGACGCTCGTTGTGCTAGACAGCGCGTATAATAGCTCCTCGGTGATCTCTCCTGCACTAAAACGCAAACTGTCCTATTCAAAATCTTCCACCACGAAACCACGTGGCTTGTGCGTGAACCGATCAACAACCGCAAACCTGGCAGGGCCGAACACCTGTTAAGTAGGACCCCGGCTCCGTAACGTTAGTACCAACCAGCTCAAGGAGAAAATCATTATCCATGACACATGTCTTGTCGACAGCGATGACGGTATGTTTTTCTCTTAAAGATACGATTGATTACAGGTCTGGGCTAAGTGTACCCTCAAATGATGACCTTGGATCTTCAAGCTTCAGGCTTCGACTTATGGAAATGATAAGCTTATCATCGACGTGGCTAGAACTAAATGGTCTGACCGGGGACTAGACGCTGACGAGTACTATCGCGCTACTAGGAGGCTGAACGACCACGATTCAAATTCCACGGTGACTAAACTTCGACTTCCCCCTTCTGCGGAGATTCATCTACCGTGACTCGTTAGTAACCGGTCAACTCATGGAGTCATCGCTGCTGGAAGAATAGTCATGGTGAAGTTTGGCGCTTCAACAAATTGACGGAACTTCCATACGCCAGTCAGCGCCAAAGAGCCTGCCACATTCTTGAATTATCAGCGCTTGGTGCCGCTGAGGGCTATATGCTCCGAAGCCGCGGGCTTTTGAAAGGTAATTTCTTATTCTGCCTGTCCTTGAAGTGTTGATCTCTGTTTATCTGCAGGTATGGAGCTCGAGACGGTAGCATTAAGTCGACTCGGTGCACGGTCCCGGAAGTGGCAGAATTGCAGGCCTGTCCTAATAAGTCAGTATATCAGGCCCGGCGAATTGTCATTGGGCGTGTTTTGAAATTCCCGGAAGAGGACTCCTGTCGTCGCGCTCCTCCATGTCACCTGTTCCCCGCAACCGGATCCAGTACTTGGCTTTTGGATGCGTTTGCGGATATTCGCCCACAGCGACAACCCGAGCACCTAATTAGTGATATTTCCACCACTGCGACCCCACAGCCTGTCACGGTGAAGTACCCCACCCGAATGTTAAACGGCTTTGAAAGCTTTCGTCAAACTTTGTATGCGCGAAGACCGAAGGACTTCCCTTCATTTCGCACTGTCGATCTCTCCGGCACTCACATGGTTTATAATAGATGTGCGCTTTCAAGAAGACCAGTAGTTCGGAAGCTCCTAACTCATTAGAGCAATCTTGTGTCGGGTACCGTTTGGTAGGTACCGAGTTCGTGCTAAAGCACAACCCTGCCTGCTCTTCGCACACTTATATGTCCAAGCTTGCATTATTACGGTCATCACAGATACAAGCGACCATGGAACATTCGACAACTCGCATACTAATAAGGAACCAAATCATTTCGTAAAATACCTGGGTTGGGTTGCTTCTTGAGCAATACAGGCTAGTAGCCACACACACTAGTAGCATCATGACATCCCCAGTGACACTTTGTCTGGGTGCAAACCTTATCAGACGTGAGCCGCTTCAGGTATTGACTATCAATGAACGGTGTACCAACTCGAATGATACAGTGTCCTCCCTGACTCTTTGCGGGGACAATTAATTACGGCATACCGGCTATCTGAATACACACCCAAGTATGTTGTACGACTGGGTCACTGCAGGGACAAAGCGGCGAGAAGCTAACCATGCTGCTTCTTCGAGGCCGATGTACCGCGTCCCTGACCCTTGCAATTTCAGTCACTCCTTGGCAAATCCGATGGGAAAGGGACTCTAAGTTAACCATTGACATGAGGTTTGTCTCAGGCAGGATACCGAGTCACAAGCTCACTGTATTACGTTACCTACATCATTATTGCGACTGGGCATCTGGAGTATATGTGTTATTCGTTTGTTCAGACTCGAGTGAATTGCTTGTTGAACGTTGACGTTGAGCGTTTAAGTAGTAAGATCAGGTTTAGGGCTGCTTGCAAGGGCAACTCCGCTTGTCAGACAACAGGCACACAGTCACAGAGGCTGTCCAGCAAGCAATTGCAAGCGAGCTGCAGGCGCCTACTGTCTATGTGACCTTTCGCTATCGCCAATATCTTCGGGAAGCATCATGTCGTCTCAAAACGGAGCGTACGACCAAAACCTACTTGATGAAGCTCCCGCAGCAACGAGGGCGCAGAGGCAGGTGTGCAGTACCAGTTGACTCACCTGTCCTATTTTGTCGTTAAAATATATCCAATTTCTAGGAAGGTTACAAGGTTGATTTACTCGATGACCGTCCTACCCGCCCCACATCTACCCAACCACTCAGACCTCCACACACAATTCCTAGTGATACAGACGTCGAGAGCAGCTCATTGACACGGGAAAAGATTGTTCCTGGAGCTGTTACATATACCTCGCACCCCACTCAATCTTTTTGGCGGACTCGCAATGGCAAAATCACCATCTTCGTTATTGCCATTGTCGTTATCGGTGCTGTTGTTGGTGGCGCCGTCGGTGGGACTGTCGGGAAAATCGGCTCAAATAACAACGCCCCTCCTCGGAATGTAACCTCAGGCAATTCTACATCCCCGTCTGATGTGCCGGGGACAGGTCAAACAAATGTTACCACTACTCCATCGCCGTCCTCCTCCACATCCTCCACATTCTCCATACTCCTCCCATCTTCCACAACCTCCACAACCTCCGCAACCTCCAGCGTCAGTATTTCTGAGACCTCGGCAGGGAGTCAGCCGACGGGAGGGAGTCAGCCAGCGGGAGGGTAATTGGGCAGAGGATGCAGGAAGCGATGACGGCACAATGGCGTTTTATCGACTTTGACAAGTAATTTCTCTTGCGGATCACTTTCGTTGGACAATCATTATACATATGTTGCTACCTTTTTACTATATGAACAGAATATATATGATACCAAATAACATTTCCTCATGCAGCTGTAGAATCCGCGTTACAGTCGTTGCAACTTAAGGCAATGTATACGCCAAGATTTGTCAGTTTCCTGTCCGAACGTTTATGAGAACCAGCCTTTGGGCTGATCCACTTCATCCTGTTTCACTTCCCTATCTCTCTGCTGCCTGATGGCTTCCAAGATTCCTTTCACGCCCTCGACATCCCCTATACTGGCACGTCCACCAATCCAGTCCACGACAACGGGCCATTTGAACGCATTCGGGTTTTGCTCCGCAAGACTCACGATACCTTTGACACTTTGCGGCTGTTCACCTAGGCCAGACGACGCCGGATGCGCAGATAAAAAGGTAGACAACGCAGGGGGTGCAGTAGATCTCGGCGGAGTGATATACGTAAGAATGGTCTTCAATTGATCGGCGGTCGGAGGTTTCGTTTCAATGACTTCTAGATCAAATTCGAGCGGGGACGCCGATTGCTTTCCAGGGGGATAAGGCGAGGAGAGGGCATTCCGCAGCAGTGCGAGGGCCTGAATTGATGGTGGCGATGATGGGTGGTGACTGTGTGGAAGATATATTCAGCTCTCATAAGATTTCCTCACGGATGACGGATGATGCACACAAGATGGAGATTTGAGGCTATGGTTGATGTTCAGCTCATCCCAGACAGCTTCAGGTAATTCCGGGCGCTCACCAGTGAGCGTTTGAATCCAGAGAACATATCGGAATATTTGTTGTGGTCGACGTTCGTAATCAAGAAGTTCCGTATATTAGTGGCGTATGTATTGGAGTTTGAATTAGTCAGCTGCGTCACGTACCAATTGTTCTCTTCGAAATGGGAGTGACGCCTCATCAAATGAGCCAGCTGCAGCGCCAGCGATAGGTGACAAACGCTTCATGAGCCTTATCGAGTTCCGAGCCGAAGGCATGGTCATTTGCGCTGACATAGATGTCGGAATCTCGATAATACAAGAAAAACTATGCGTAGCTCCATGCATATAGATCCCTGTCGGGATTGATGTACCACCGACACTTGAGCGTCGTCATAATGGAGTAGCGGTTCGTGATCAAAACAATGTGATATGTAATACAAGAAAATGGTACGTGAAGCTCGGTGTCGTAAGTGGGGGAGAACCCAAAAGTGACCTGCACGATAAGTTCGCAAGGCCCCAAAACAATCACTGGTGGTATAGTATGTACTAGGTGGTGGGTGATAAATAGATTATGGATACATTTATAGCTAGCAAGATGAACAAAAATGAATTATGATGACACGAGAGGTATACTCTATTCCGACTCGAATGGTTTAGATTGATAACGAATTTGATTCGTAGGTGGGGTATGCCTGTGAAAAATCGAATGCGCCGGGTTCTGAGAATAGCGTCATGTGGTTCGAGAAGATACCATCAAAATTGAGGCCGCCGATGTCGAGCGCTCCATGCATCTCTTGGCTAGTGCTGAAGGAAGGCGCTGAGAATGAACGCGGCTGTGATGCCCTCAAGGCCTCACGAGACATAGCATGTGATGAAACCGCTGAATTATCAAGAGAATGTGAAAGAGCGCTTGGGCTGGAGTGACTTGAACTGGGGCACGAATGAGAGGATGATGCATAGGGGTGGTAGTGTTGGCTAGAGCCGCTGGACACAGAATGCGAGCGTATGAGAGATGGAGTCGCGCTCCTGTGACGTCTGTGAGGTCCGACCTCTGAGGGTGCTACATGGAGAGACATATTGTCCAGGGCAAAATCTTGTCTATGAGACGGAGCTGAAAAAGACGTCATGGTCGATTCCCCGTTGCACGTCGAAGTCAACGACGGAGAATTCATGAAGGGCTTGGCCCAGGTCATCTCCGCTGACTCAACATACCCAGTGTGGTTCCTGGTGCCATTTTGCAAAAAATAGCTGTTACTGAGCCCACCGTCTGAGGTGGCGTCGGTATCCATGACAGGGGAGACGCCAGACAACGCAACTAGACCCTCTTCGTCGCCTTGCACATCTTGCACCTGGCCTTGTAGTTCCAAAACACACGTCTCCATGTCCTGTAAGCCACCCTCTGCAAAAGAGAGAGCGGCAGTAAAGGCAACGTCGCATTCGTCTGCTTCCTCGTTTTCCATGTCAATATCGCACGCATTTAGATCCACAGAAGCTGACTCAGCCCTTTCTACCCGTGCGTGTATGCGAAGATGCTGGTTAAGATTGTCCGACCGAGAGAACCGCTTCCTGCAAAGGTTACACGCGAATGGGCGTTCCATGGTGTGCGTCCGCACGTGCCTCTTTAGGTGCTCCATGCGCTTAAACAAGCGGCCACAGGAATAGAGGGGACAAGCAAACACCTTTGAAGTGAGCGTCATCCCGCTGGTGGCGTGATGGCCGTCAAAATCCGAAGGGAACGAAGGTGAGGAATCCTCCGCAAAAGGATGGAGATGAGATTGCGATGAAGGCTGCTTGATTGATGACCGTCCGAAGACTGATCCGTTTGGAAGGGTGGCAGAAGTCTGTCCTGGAGCGAGTTGCGGTGTAGCGGACCAAATTGTGTTATCGTGGGCTTGTAGCACAGCCTTTGCTCGTCTCACACTAGGCTCTTGTTCACCTCTCGCTTGAGAGGTGAACATATCAGAAGCTGTCATGCCGGAATCATTGAGTCCATAGCCAACGCCAATCTCGTATGCGTGAATGGGCATTTCTTCTGAGTCACTGCGCGTGACCGCATCGAGCCTGCTAACTGGCTTTTTACGACGTTGCTTGTAGGTGGGAGAACCTTCGAAAATAGAAGGAGGCAGGCATGCCATATAGGAACCATGCAGTGCTGAGGGAAGATGAGGGACACCTTCGCCATCAATACGACAGTTACTAAGATGCAACTCCCCCGAGTTAGAGTTGTGCATCGCCCCCGCACGTGAAACGGTTGGTGCTGATCCGTTTGTGTCATATTTCCCATTCATCTGGGTAACGTCAGAATTGCTGATGACGTCGCCATTGGCTTGTACGGTGCTCTGTCCCTTGCTGAATTGTTCATACAGGCTGCGCTGCGGCTCGTACGTAAACGAGAGTGCAGGTTCACCGACGATCTTGGTGGTCGGTTCCGATTTCATCTTCTCGCGTTTGAGATCGCGTTCGAGGGCATCTAAGAAAAGGCGATCGTGAGGAACCGAGTACCTTTCGAGGAAAGTGAGCCACAAATTTCAGGACAATGGAGAAGATACATACCAGTAGAACACCTTTTGCTTTTTCTGAGTACGTATGCACTGATATTTGAAAAGAAGATCCAGAAATGGTGACTGATGTACATGAGACGGAGTATCATGAGAAAATCTGGATGATACTAACTTTGGGTTCCTCCAAGCAAGCATCGACACCAGGCTTAAGATTTCGCAGATCGCTGAAAACACCTTCCTCGAATTTTTTCATGTTTCTGACGGGTCTTCCAAATGCCTCAAAGCGGAAAACGAGAGCACGGACAATATCGGTGCCCGTTATGTGATAGCGATTATTCCACGAGACACAGGTAATGTATTCCGAAGAAGGAAGAAGGAAGCGGTTCATGGAGGGATGTGAAGAGGCTGGGTGGCCAGAGGAATCCATGGGAAACGAATCATTTTGTGCTAAACCAGAAGCTGTCGAGGACCATCGCGATGGGGCAGTAGCGAGAAAATACTTGAGGCTGTCCAGTTGAATGAGATTTTCCTGTTCCTGCACGGTCAAAAGCCTTGTCAGACTTTTACATGCACTCAACCCAGTGGCTGAAGGGTTAAAGCGAGGAACAAAGGCAGATTGACTGCGATCAGTTATGTGAGGCTGGCGGGATTGAAATGAAGCTGTTGTCCGTTGGGGGGAACGATGGCTATACATTGGAGGTGATCCTCCTGATGTCAGAGCGATAGAATTCGTTACGCGCCGATCAGACGCTTGCGTGAGATGGGCATTGGGATGGTCATTCAGTAGAGAAGGGGAAGAAGATCCGGAGTTGGGTGGTGGAGTCAGCCCTGCAGCGCCTGTATCGAGTGAGGAATCAAACGATTGTAGATAAGGGTTCATGAGATCACTTGTTTCAGTGAGGTTGTCGTGAGCCGTAGAGAACAGTCAGACGCAGGGCTAACCTGGTATGATGGTGAGCTACAAAGGTTTGAATTCAAAGTGAGGATACGCACTACTTGAATCAAGAAGAGAAATTTGAAGACCTGGAGGAGGAAAGATGGATGCGATGACCGATTAGATGAAAAGTAGGATGATATATGTAGTTATAAAGGGAGTAGGGTGATCCAGTTGCGTGTGCGCCGGAAGAAATATATTATATACAAACCATATCATAGAAGTTATAAAAATAAGGAGATGGGCCGGGGCAATCCAGAAATGATCATGAAATCATTGGATGCTATAGTTTGGGCCGCATCCACCATTGGAAAGGGTGTTGTTGGCGCTGTACGGTATACTGATGGCATCTCTACTTGGTCAAGATACCGGGGCAAGGTGCTTACCAAATCAATCCATTTTTAGTTATCTTCTCCGACCCTGCACAGCCTCACCATCCTGCCTTAGTGCTCACATGGACATCCCAACGTACAGCACAGCACAGTAAAAATAGTACCTATACATCCCTCCATTCGGGCATTTTCTAAACACATCGACAGGCGCTTTTCATTGGTCTCACTCGGTACAACGTTAACATGGCTGTGTTCGAAATCTTAAGATCACGTCCCAATAGCACCGCGGAGCGATATCTCGTAACCCCCGAACTTGTCGTGTTACTTTGATAAGGTCGGCAAATGCAGTGGTTCATCTATACGCTAAGCTGATGGATGCGCTGATGTTGGACCTGAACCTTCGGTTATTATCCCCTTCACTAGTATGCACCATCCCTGCAGCCTTCGCGGGATGATCATGCTATGATGCGATCTACTGTTCCATGTGACTTGTTGTATTCATACTTCGAGTTACACATGCATTTACTGATCCTTTAGCACCGCAAATTAATTCATAACTTATCATCCGGACACCTTAGAGTGCCCCGGATCGAAGTCTCCCTATCAAGACACGAGTCTGACCCAAGACTATTAGCGATCCGATCACCTTGATCATCGCGCATCCTGAATTCTGTTACTCAGTTCAGAACAAATATTGCAGGTCCGCCACTGATCTTCGTCCCGGATGCCGTGTACAGCGTTTTACAGGATTTTTACCCATCTGCATCGCGAACTTAGTCCTCAAACACATCTCATCGTCGTATGGGAAACTTTAAGTACAACAGGATGTGTTCATCAAATTAACTTCGTCGAATATGATTATTGATACGCTCAAGTGGGTGGGCAACGTAAGTACTGCACACTACCATTATTGTTTCCCGACCCGGATGTTGACCCACACAGTGGCTGAATAGAGTAAACACCGAAGTGAGGATTTATTTTCGAGCTGAGGCTTCACCTCAATTCGCGGGGGCCAGCGGCAAGCCGACCCAAAGATGTTACGCCACTAGGCACTGATAGTTGCACACCATGCCCTCTTATCAACGAGCGTGAGTTCAAAACTGAGTTGTCGGTTGCTACAAACCTAAAAGAACTCGACAGTCGTGATGATCTTGACGTCATAGCATAATGAGAATCACATATATGCGATATCACTGGAGGAAGAGCGTACCTGAAGTATTCATACCTTGAAACTGTGGGTGTGCATTTCGTTAATATTCGTTCCGCCGGTTGAGTGAAGAATGGAGATCGTTAGAACATACGTACCGCTTTCAGCAATCACATACGCATTTACGTTGCCCGACGAGTATGACGATGGAGCTATTTTTTCAGGGATGATGCTACCTCCCTGTAATAGCCATAAGGATGGACCGATTCTGAGCACAAAAAGCCCACACACGTGTTGTCCCTACCAGTGAAATGGAATGTCGCTGCGGACTACGACAGATACAATTCAAGTAAGCATTTCTGCAGCGGTCCGAGCAGCCAGCCCAACGAATTCCGGAAGTGAACGAGGTACTATCTTGACAGTTTCTCCGTGCTACGAAAGTAGCGGGAAAGATATGTTGCCGAACGGTAATAGATTCTAGACCGATGTGCTCGGGATATTCACAATAAGAAACGTACCAATGAAGCGACAAGTCGGTGATGGAGAGCCGACAGCGCAATCTTGAATTTTAGTTCTCAGGTCATGACACCGGACGTTTCTGCTCTGTTGAGGCCTTGATTTACGGGATGACATCAATTTAGAAGCAAGCTCAGGGATTACATACACGTAAGCTGCGAGACAATCGGTCTCGAGGAGAATAGGTCTCATCGAGGTTTGCCTGTCCTGTAGTGCATGCTTCGCCACAACAACAGTTCTTTATCGAGTAGATATCACTGTGATGTTGAAGCGCCCAAAACAGGTAATAGGTCGATCGATCGGGCGTTTGTTTGGTTCTAAAGCTTTTGCTAAACACACCAGAACTGAAATTCATTAATGTATGCGAACCTGAAAGGCATTTGGACCAAAAGTCAGGTTCTTCGCTCATAAATCAAGCAACGTTATGGCTTCCATTGCTGACCGTTAGCAATCATCTGCTGACGGAGCTAGGTCGCACCGTTTGTCCAAGTACCCCGAGTTCCCCGAGTCATTTCTTGTAAGGGTCCGCAGTATCTACCAAACAACAGCCGTCAACAACTCGTCTGAGTTCCTATTGAGCGGTCCATACGGCTCTGGCCGCAAATTTTGTTGTAAGGGATCTTCACAACTGACCATCCCAAATATATTCCAGGAAAAGGTTCCTCGACCACCTAACTTCTGATGCAGTCCCACTTCCGCCCCCTTTGATCGCCGATCTTTCATCATCCCGGCAGATCACACCGTCAGCTTCAATAGCAGCAACCATTTCATCTGCAAGTCCAATCGTGATATTCTCCTCATGGGCAATTTGACTTGTCGTCATCATACCAGACATGGTAAGATAGCCCACTATGCGGGCTGTAAACGAAGCGTGGGTGTACGGCGGCATGTGGAGGACGGATAAACCTGATTTAAACACTCTGCTGCGGATAGGCGGTGACGTATATGCCGGGAGGTGGGGGAGTACTTGCAAAAAGGTGGATGGCGGAATTAAAGCTGCGTAAGACGTGTGTTCAGCAGCTCACTTGGGCAGTGTCAAAAAGGTTTCCTTACCTACGCCCCTCGCGCGGTTCCACCCGCCCCAAACCTCATCCAGTCCAACAATCCCCCGCTCTTTCATAACCCCGACCGATTTCTGACCGGGAATATCATCCGGCGACCCTTGCAATACCCTCGCCAATTCCCGCGCCAACTCTTCTATCCACCTTCTTTCGTCCCTGATCATATCCAGCGTGACGGGAGCATTAGACATTTGTAAACCTAGCTGCGCAAGTGAAGAACGTATAAATTTGGCTTCTTCAGGCTCCGTCGAGGGAACAAGCGTGGTCGTCGAAAATAGACTTGACAATTGGGTGCCTGGGGTTGATGGGGACGAAGTCGTGGTTGTTGTAGAGGATGCAGTAAGTTTCTCGTTCAGCTCCCCCGCAAGGTGAACAAGATCCTTTGCTTTCATCATTAAGCCCTCTAAGTCTTTCAGGGCATCGTTCAGATCTGTTTGTGTAACATGGGCCGAAGCTTCTACGTTACGCATGATTCCGTCTTAAGAACCAGTCATCAATGTCAGCGCCGACGGTACCAACAAAATAAATTTGTATTTCCTACCTATTCCAGAAGGACGCATGGCAACGGGTGTCGGACCATAATTAGGGCTTGTAATGGCGAAGCTAGAAGTCCCGCTTCTCGCACTATGACCAATCCGTTTTCCCTAAGTGTCGGGATATGTGATTAGTTATATCTTTCTCGAAATGATGGCACCATGCTTGCCTCCCAAGCCTGAGATCTAAGTGCACGCCTGAGCAAGTTGTAAAATGGTTTATCACCGCCTTTGCGGAAGCTTAATTTGATGAGGAGATTTGCAGGATCGATGCTGCCACCTACGGGCGATACTGGTCGAGTGGAGGGGGCGGATTTTGCCCTCATACTCCCAGCGTGTTCAACATTGGGAAGTGGCGTTGTGCATATTTCGCAGACACGCAAAGACGGGTGATTAAGGAAGGTACATGCAGGACACGCAATTCCATCAGAATCATCATTCGTTGATGGAGGAGATGGAGGTCCCGGAGAACTCGAGGAAGATAAAGAGGTGTGTGAAGACTCGGGAAGGGAGGAGAATAAGGATTGAATTTGAGATGATGCCTCCGACGTTGCTGACCCCGCAGATGCGCTGCGCGGAACGCCACATAGAGCACATATTCGAGCTGCAGCTGGACTCAAACCTGGAGGATTGCGATGGCTACAGACTTCGCATTCCCAGCTCTCGAATATTTCTGTTCGCTGCCCAGACGTTGTGGTCAAAGGTAAGGCAGTATCGGCGTCGAGGAAGAGTGAAACCTTCGGTGCAGATTTGAACAAACCAGCATAGTAATTCGTCCGTACCACATGAAGTAGACCCATAGTAAAAGAATGCGATGTAGGGTTCTGCGAATGAACGAAAAATAGGCGATGCGTAGAGACGTGAACAGAACCTGTCTGAAAGTCGGGAGCTTTCTGCAGACTGTTAATCGGTGACATGAACACAGAAGCCAGGCCAAAGACAGAAAGCACACGCACCCATCATATATGCCTACACCATCCTGGGATGCCAGGAGTTCTTCATCGTCATAGAGGAGTGCAGGGACTGGGATGGTACCATCGATTGATGCTGTATATCGCCGAAGTGCCATGAGCAATGCGATTTGGAGCAAGTATGAATCAGAAGACCAAGTAGCGGAACAATGACTGTTGGCGGGTATGGAGATGAAGGCATATCGGGATAGGAATACAATCACACGGCTTACCTTTCGCACTAAAGATAGAAGAAGTCGGTGCTCTTTATGAATGAGCTCGAAGTCCTCTCAATGCAATACATTCGACCAGCTATTGAAGTTGGGTATATATGTGGGGTGTTCCAAATAGTTTGAGACGTCCGCAATGCACATAGAATCGACGCAGATATGCAGCGTCGAATGCTTAGTATCTGGAATCGGATGTCGGTGCCAACGGCGGTGACAGATATTATTTATGTACGCGTGTTTATGCCCACTCGCCCAAGCTGGACCAATACAGCCGCCCTTCAATACACGAAACATACAGCAAGGGTAAAGCATGTGCAACTTAGCCATCTTTCTTTGCGCGATAATTGAATCGTTTCTAACATCCTACACCATTCGTAGACTCGTTATGCAAACGACACCCCAGGAGTGTTGTTGGTGACAGCAACTTCATGTCAAGTGACATACGTACATAAGTCCTTGGTTCCCAAGCCTCCTCTCCGAGGGCTGTTTGAAAGGCTGCCCACTTCCCCTCCTTCATTAACCCAGTCGATTAGTCGCAGCCCGCTGCGCTGGTATCTAGAACCAGGTGCAGGAGAGGCTAAATATTGTCACCTTACGATGGTGTCAGATCTGAGATCTGAGGATTGAGTCCTCAGGTCACTCCCGTGTTCTACACTATCTTTTTTTGCTCACTTTTTCAGGCCATCTTGCCGTCTCGTACCGGCTTTATCCTTGCCCGGCATTGCATCAGTTGCTGCTACCAAATAGGTCAGTTTCACAGAAAAACGCCTTTGTATCGACATTCACGTCTCGTTCAGTTCGATTCCTTTCCCGCTTTTTACAAGCTTCTACCACTATTGTACCATCCAGAAGAAATGCATCGGCTCGAACCCCACTGACTACGTATGACGGGATCCTTGGGACAATCTCCATGTCGACTTCCGCTGGAATCGTGGTATGTTCCGGGTTACTTGCGCAATTATGGCTCATCAAGTATCCTAGCCTATCCCGTCTTTGTGAACTTTGTTTCGCTTTTTGCCGTTCTCATTAACTGTCAATCAGTCTCTATTTTTAATGAACAAACTCCCGAATCCTATGTCTTGTCCTGTGCCTCCATGAGAAAGCTGTCCTCTCATCGGGTTGGTGAGTAGCAACCCCAAGTCGTCGCTGGGGCCAACCAGGCCCCATGTTTCTTTTGGCTACGCGATTTGTTCTCATATTGGTATGTACCTCAAGACACTGCACTCTTTCTATTAACGACAAAGAGTCGGATCCATAATCATATCGGATAATTACTCTCAAGCCGGACCCTGCGAATAGAACCCCCTAAGTCTTGACGGCGTATTCACTAGCAGTTCATTGATCTGTCACACTCATCGATCGAGTATGATAACCCCTCTTTTACTGGCATAGTGTCTTTCGGTACCGCATAGACCCGCGCCGGTCTTTCCCCGATCATCCCTCAGAATAGTCCCGGCCGCGGCTGCACCGGCTTGACGATCGGATGATTTAGAGGCTGACTTACACCCACATGTTAAGCTCTCGTCTGCCAGTCTTCCGCCTCCAGTGGACATTCGAGTTTATGATGAATGCCTGTGGCCCGGGCTCTGCATTACCCGTTGTCATTTAGGCTGTCATTCGGGTATCATCTTGTACCTCGATTGTCGAGTGCCAGTATCGTGGCTGCGCACGATCGCGTGCTCTGATCAGCCACATCCATCTCATCTAACACTATCCACAATCTGGTAGATCAGCACTGGGTACTCCAAGGCACCGTTGTTTGATTGGTAAGTTCCATGGTGCTAAGGAAGCCGTGCGAGACCGAAGCTAGACGTTGTATGTCTATTTCCATCGTCCCCATATGGATGGCGTAATGATTTTGCCTCTTGTATTAGAACAATATAGCGGTGATCAACGATTCATGATCGGTCGGGCACTGGGACTTCCGTCGCCCGAACGAACAACGGTGCATTGACAAATCAGATCTATAAACGTTGGTCTCGCTCTGGTAATCACTGTGCACATGCGCTCCACCCCATGAGATGATGCTATCACAAAGCCACTGAACGGAGATGTTTTCAGAGAAAGGTGGGATATCTGGGCCATTGCGGTAGACTTACCAGAAGTCGCATAGCAATGTTGCTCTTACTTTTTCTTCTTTGGCTTTTTCTTCTTAACACCTCCAGCTGCAGGACCCGCAGGTTGTGCAATGAATGGAGACGACGAGCGTGTCTGGTCTGCGTCTTTAGTAGTATCAGGCGCGCTTAGGGAGTGTACGATTGGTGTAGGGCGTTTATTCTGCATTTTCTGCATTAGTGATAGGTTCAAAGCTTCGAATCGATTGAGGAAGATTGAGGAGTAAGTTTTGAACTTTATGCACTGCAGAGATGTGTAAGATGTAAGCAAGGTGCAGATTCAGAAGTAGATAAGATAACGACACACTGTTGTGTCATCTGTAATCTTCAGGACGAGCTTGCCCTCTGATGATCTCCACTTCACACAGTATCGAGCCTATGGACATGTTATCGGTGTCAGACGGACGTAGATATCAGAAAGACAAACTTTATTGGGAGATTTTGTGTAGAGATTTTCAGCTGCTTCCTGATACTCCTGCCAGGAGGCGATGTATACCATGCTCGCATGAGTAACGCACACTCTAACAACTTGATGAAGTCCATTTGGTGCAAGGTTTGGTCACAGGTCACAGGATGTCACACTATCACACGTCGATGGTCACGAGCAGGAAGCGATTCTGAAAGAGTTAAACTGTAAAAAGCACTACTGGTCAGCGTTCACGCGTGCCGCATTCCGTCGCGTTTTACGTCCGACTCTTGTCCGACTCTGTGTCGCGGACTCTTGAACGGCTTTCTTTTCTTCCTCTTTGACTTCATCCTTCTCAACCACAACCATAATGACTACGGATCAGCGGAAACGTGAGTTAGGCAGCTTGCAGTGTGCACCATATCAGGCGCCTTCCTTGCTGACAGAATCAACTATAGCACTCCCTTTCATCGCGAATTTCGCCGCTGGCGCAATTGCTGGTGTCTCAGAGATTTTGACATTTTACCCTCTAGGTGAGTCGCATTCATCTAATAAGACGCACACTCACTCGTAGTTTAGATGTCGTAAGTACACATGTATACAGGATGCTCGGGTCGATGACGGAGTATGACTCAGGTGAAAACTCGTATGCAGCTTGAGACCGGAAAGGCCAAGCATGGAATGGTCGGCACTCTATCATCTATAGTGCGGGAAGAAGGGTAAAGTCATGGCATTACAATCTTCACGCGACCACGCTGCTGATATCCTCATAAGTTTCGGCCGACTTTACCGAGGTCAAGGGTGCTCTTACAGTCTTCGTTACGGGGCCTTGAATTTTGTTTACAGGCTTGGTCCCTCCTCTTCTTCTCGAGGCGCCAAAGCGCGCCGTTAAGTTGTGAGTCAGGCTCTCGCAGGTATTCCGATGTACTGTCTTACCGCCTCGCAGCGCTGCCAACGACTTCTGGGGGAAGACTTACATGGGCTTTTCCGGAGAGTCTAAGATGACACAGCAACTCTCTATTTTGACAGGGTGCAGTGCTGGTGCAACGGAGAGCTTCGTTGTCGTTCCATTTGAGCTTGTCAAGATCAAGTGGGACCATCACTATCATACGTCCTCTTTCTACTTCTAACCCGTGTCATTAGGCTGCAAGATAAATCTAGCACATTTGCTGGTCCCATTGATGTCGTCAAGCAGGTCATCAAGAAAGAAGGTCCTCTTGGTCTCTATGCTGGCATGGAGGCGACTTTCTGGAGGTCAATGGATTCACAGTCTAGCGTCCCTGATTACTGACCCAAGAGACTAGGCACCTCTGGTGGAATGGTGGATATTTTGGATGTATTCATCAAGTCCGCAGCATGTTGACACCAGCTGAGGCAAGTCTTCAGCAATACGTCGTGGTATTTTTCTCATCGCCTAGCTTAGACGCAGCAAGGGCAGCTGTTCAATAATTTCGTTTCTGGCAGTGTAGGTGGCTTCGTTGGAACTGCCATAAATACCCCGTGAGTGGCAATTCAGCAAAGTTAGTGAAATGAGACTGATGTACCTCTCAGCTTCGATGTATGCTTTCCTTTGTAGTCCCCCAGTCTGGTCAATGACACCGCCACTTGTAAATTTAGGTCGTGAAGTCTCGCATCCAAGGTACTGCTAAGGTCCCCGGAGTTGTGCCAAAGTACAATTGGACATATCCTGCGTACGTTTCTTCCTGCGCTGCGAGGGAGATACTAAACAACGTAACAGACTAATGACCATCATGCGCGAGGAAGGTCCTGCAGCTCTTTACAAGGGCTTTCTGCCAAAGGTCCTCCGTTTAGCGCCTGGAGGCGGCGTTTTACTTCTAGTGGTGGAGTTTACACTTGGAGTATTCCGGCAGGGTAAGTCTCTGCTCATTTTCATTCTCTGCCATAATTGACTCTGTTTCAAGCGCTTGGTTCACCTTACATATAGAATTTGAAGTTAGCGCTTAAACGCGGGAAGGCTGAAACACCAACGTAGCTAATAAGTTATACCACACTGGACCACTTTCGTGAACATCTTCACAAGAGGCTGTAGCATCAATCGGAACAAATCTTGATGCAGAAATGATTCTGATTTTGAGGTAGCTGACAACGGGCCACAGCCCATATGGCATAGCGATTGTAGTCGCCATGATCCGATGTCTCAACCGCACAATGTTCACACCACTGCAGAGCCCATTCAGACAATATCAATAGTCACCGGCAAACACAATACGCGACCGAAATTGACACATGCAAAAAGGCTGCTACTTCCTCCGCTGCAGGTCGAGAGCCGTCAATTACTCCCAGATATAACGGTATCTCAGTTTGGAACCCTCCTAGCGCAACCCCGGTACGACCATATACATGCGACCAAGGCCATTTAAATTTGATGGGCCCTCAGAGAACGACGAGCGGTATCAACAAATGTTTGGAAGGATGAATTAGTAATAAAAGATGAATGACGACATCTCATCTTGGTTGCCAGAATCAATGGCACTGATAATGAATAAGTTTCCAGAGCCAGTATATGCGTCTTTCGCCAGAGAATATATCATCGTGCCGCCATACTCAAGTAAAAGCAAGCAGGGGAATTGAATTCAAGTATTTGATTGATAACTTTGGACACATGATATTGTGGGAGTGTCAGTCTGCGTTAGCACGTTCGGGACAACGTTTATTTGAGGTTTGAATCGACCTTCACCACTCCAATCACACATATAAACATACGCATCCCTGCATACTTCGGGGCTAGGGCGAAAGGCTTATACTACAAACTTATATTTGGTTCTATTATTTTCAAAAGCTCTTGATAAATAAAACCAAATAAAAGCTCCGCAGAGTTTCATTTTGGTGCGGATGGTTGTGCGGATGTCTCAGACTCGCTGCAACTGAATTACATGACGCACTCATGAGACTCATCTACCCGCATTTATAGAGGAGAGTCCGCCATGGTATAAAAAGGTTAACGCCACAGGGGCTACGCCACCGGATCAATCCGAGTAACCCCGCTGCTGACAATGTCGACTTCAAATTGGACCTGTCCCCCTGCACATACATTCATCCCTGCTACTCCGGGCGATCGGCGTTCTCCTTGTCCAGCACTCAATGCACTAGCAAATCATGGGTACTTGTATGTTTTTCTTTGTTTCTGCGCAGGAGTTTCAAACCTAAACTTCATTATTACCAGGCCCCGCAATGGACAGAACATTGGACTTTGGCATCTGATACGCGCGGTCCAGGAAGTGTACAACCTGTCCTTTATATTTGCAGCCTTGCTCGCCTTGGCAGGAGTTCTACTTTGCGGTCACGCCTTTCATTTGGACCTTGATGCACTGGCGATACACAATAAAATTGAACACGACGCATCCCTCGTTCATGCCAACGCATTGGGTCAGCAACGTGCACCTACTGAGGTCGACCCGAAACTTCTGGAGTCATTTTTAAGCTATGCAGATCCTCGAAGAGGCATGAGTCTGTACGACCTCGCACAAGTGCGCATATCTCGTGAGGCCCAGCTGGCTCGTCCACTCGACTTCATTCATTCCCAGATCGGGGCTGGCGAGGCAGCCCTGTGTTGGTTGCTTCTCAAGCAAGACAGTGGTCGCATCCTGTCAAGCACGCTTTTACAGTGGTACGGGGAAGAACGTCTGCCCGACAACTGGGCACGACCACGTCATATTATAGGGTTGCTCAATGCACGTACAAAGGCGGTGGAAGTGGCAAACATCATGAGTAGTCTCAAAAAGTCTACTTGCCGTGGCCCACCAACGTCTTCCAACTTCAACGTCTCTTTTCTGGGCTTAAGGACAACACTTAAGTGTGATTCATAGAATGCCTGCAATATATTTACTATTAATGTAGAGCCTTCTACCTTCCATCGTGCATCCTGAGAGTGAAAGTGCATCGTGATGTTGAGAGCGTATTGATAGACAAGTGTTCCAAGAACCTACCAGCGATCCCTGCTTCTACCGAATTGCTTGTAGACTGCTCTGTCCCTATTACAAGGTACGACTGTCTTCCTTCTTTCGGAATCTTCTTAAGGCCTTTGTTTAACTAGTATAGGTTCAAGTTGCGGGGATATTGTCATTATGGATTCAACGCCTCAGGCTCATCTTACTGCTGTGCGTTGCAACCTAGTGACATTACCTATCTGCTGTAAGGCGTTCCACTGAGTACTCAAGGTGTGGAACATCGCGGGACACACCAGTTCATGGTAGTATGCTCACATCCTGGTCTGGCGGAGTCTTTAAGTATATAGACCCCATCTTTATCAAATCGAGTTTCTCGCTCATCACTGGTTATGAACCTGTAAGGCAAAACGTCTCGTCGTTTATCTTTCTCGCTGCAGAACCCTGCCAGCCAACAGCTCTCGGCCCTCCACGAGGGCAGTCACTTCTGAATTCAAACTTATCACTGTGTCTGGCGACACCAATTGGGATGGTTTTTTATTCTTCCTGCAGCTGAAAAAACAATCACAGGGAGCTGCCCCGAGTTACAATCATCCAATTATTCATATAGCAAGCGATGTGAAAAGATAATAAGAGGCGAGTTTAGGCATTGAAATATTGAGGGCAGGAAATCGTCTCATGAGTGGCTACGACAAGGCGTGAATGGTCGAGGACATGGCGGCACACAACGACGAATCGTGCATAGTTTGACGGCAAGTGTGAAAAGCAGGCGGGGTGCTAAATCTGTCGAACGTGGTGAGTGCAATTGAAGTGAAACAGAGTCGGTAAAAGGACTCCATGTCGTGATGAATCAAAGTAAATAGTTAGACGACCATAATGTCGACGTAGGAATATATTGGTCTAAATAGTACTTAGCGCTTACCCGTCCCTAATATCACGAAAACGGGTTTGTTCTGTAGCGGTAAGTACGAGAAAGTCGTTAATTGCGTGCCACTATTTTACGACTAGTGGGCAAGTGAGATTTCATGCATGAGATGTTACGCCATGGAGGTGCTTGGTTGGTTCTTGGACCATCAATATGTTGTTCATTCTAGCTTGCGACTGTCCGTCGATCTGTGGAACAGCAACGTATCTACCATGAGATACTCCCCAGCGGTGCAGATACCAGCCGACCAAACCAATAATAGAGAAGTTATGCAAAAGAAGCTGATCGATTGCCCAATCTCCAACCACGATCCTACGTCATATGTCAACTCAGCACAACTTGACCACCAACTAGCCCACTCACCAGTATCCGTGACGTTCAGGAAAAACGCCATTGTCATTCCTGATCCAGAAGTTAGCAATCAGTGTAGGCCAAAAAGAACAACCTACCATCAGTGAGCGTTAGGGCAACTAAAAATAGCGAGAAGGGCGGTAGGTGGAGTCTTGCATTCAAAGTGGCGAAAACAGCTGACAAGATTACATATGGAGCGACAATTTTGAATATCTGTGGCAATCCTTTCGAGCTCCCGGTATGCGAAGCAATGTTTGAAGAACTCACCAATAACGCTGCCATCAAGAATGGATTAAAAATTGGCACCAGACGGTAGACGGGTTCCAAGTAGAACGATCTGCAAGAGGTAAGCAGCAGAGCTGGATCGGCTCGTCGGGGAAACTCACGAAATCGAAGCAACGCTGGACATAGTCAATCATCAACATCGGCACTACGAGTGTCAGTCCTGTTCATCACTCACTTTCCAGTTCCAAAGAAAGCCACCTGAACGAAAAACAAGAAAAAGAGTGCTATTCTAATATCGTCAGTGTGAAACTCATATCCTTGATTCTGCGGAGCGGTCCCAGCTCGATTCGGCTGGACGGTCGCTTCAACTTCTATCCACAAAAGTAAATTGCATGTGAAGGCGGCATAGAATAGACCTTCAACACTGATCGAAAGAATGACGAAACAGACTCCGAAGCCCAAGAAAAGCGACAGGATTCTGGAGGTCGGAGTACTATGTTGTGCTTTAGAAATGAATGGATATATCGATGATACAGCTGAGAAGTATAAAATCAGATGAATAACTAATGTCAGTTGATTAGCAAAGGTACCAAGTATGACCCATGCTGAAGTCTGGTTAATGATGGGCAATCCCTGTTTCGCTTGTAAACTTTTCACCGAGCTTGCAGTAATCGTCATGGCGAGCAAGATAAATGACGCCTTGGATACGAATGGATTAATTACATAGCGCCCATTTATGGCTACCTACCTGGATGATCTCAGATAGTTTTGTGGCTTTCAGAGAACCGTTCAACGTCAAAAGCGTACAACCTGCGCCAACTGCGAGGATCATTGCCCCTCCACACATTCTAACACATAGGTGAGTACGAGCAATATGCACAAATCTGTCAGACTGCGCTCACATCATGTATAAATCCTCTCTTTTGTTAACACTGAGTAGGGGGAATATGCCGGTCACAACACAGCTACTCATCCAGTAAAGTAAGAGTCTCGGGTGCTGCGACCGAACATGACTTGGCCACGATGTATATGGCCATAAAATGCCCATAACCAAAAAACCAATGCTCCAGAGCGACCGGTGAGTGTAGGCAGCCTGGATTATTCGTAAGTCGAATGAGCTTCATGAAATGAACGAGGGTCGACGCACGACCATACACTGGAGCACAACCACCACGATAACCAAGTGGAATAACACTCTGCCTATAAAAGGTCCGCGTCTGTCGCTCAACTTGAATTGTTGCACAACGATTGGAACTCCACGCAGCGCGAATTGCTGCCAGAAGTAGCAGGGGAAAGTTACATAGACATAAAATGTCCACGGAGCTCTCTCTGCAGTAAACAGTGCCCAAAATACTGCTAATATAGTTGCGGTGGCAAGTCTGACCATGGTACGCTGCCTATCCGAAACCAAGGAAGCTGGCGGGGGAAGAATCGATAATGATGCATAAGCAGACCATCCCAGATATGCTATCATGACGATGATCCGTATAAGTACTCGATTGTAGCTGCATTCTCTCAGCAGTTGTTTCTAGTGGTAGTCGAGCAGCTTACGTTTCGAGATATCGAAGACCTTGTAGAGTGACCTTGATGAGTTCAGCTGTTTCTCGACGGGCTTCAAACCATCTTCCATCACTGATCAAACGTTCTATTTTGAATAACCAGTATACTCTTGAAGGCTTCCCATCTTGACCGACTTCTTCCAAAGGTTCAAAACCTTTGTATAGAATGGTTTGTGCAGCCTTCGATTCTGCCAGGCAATTGATTATGGACAGAAAAGCCGGATAGCGCATTTAGGACGCACCGTGTTTTACTCGGTAGTGTTCTAGAATACTTTCTGCATTTGCCAATGCAAGCCAGGCCAAGGCCGATTCTCCTTCTCGCGGTAGCAAGTAACCAGGTCGCGTAGGGTCTGCATCAGGGAGAATTCCCACTGAATTTACCGGGTAGTTAATACCAAGCAGCGCGGCCATCAGGGGCGCAAGATCCGCTTGTTCCACGTCTCGTCGCAGAAAGTCGTCAAGTTGCCAGGGCCGAGAGTAGTCATCGTGCGAAGAAGGAATGATGTCAGGAAGTGGGCCCCTAATGCCTCGCCCCCATGCTATTAATGGGGTACGCGTGTTGTCCGGGTCTGCAAACCCCTTCAGCACCTCATTGTTCAAGCTGATGTAGCGCAGACCTCACCACCATCGCCATGGTTACCGATCTCAGACATGCCATGATCAGCTGTAAATATAAAACTTGTTTCTTCATCGTGGTAGAAGCTGGAGAAAAGTTCTTCTGTTTGTCGGACGATGCTATCGACGACTTGGATATTGTTCATGTATTCCTGCAGCGGAGTAAATCAATAAAAGCACACTGATCGGGATGCTCACCTCGGAGTGTGGCCTGTACGAGTGTCCAGTGGTGTCCAGACCAAGGAGGTGCAGGAAGAACACTACTTTGTCAGCACGTAATTCTGAATCAAGCAAGTCATTCGATGATGCGTTCTGAAACAACGTCCGAAGTTGGTCCAAAACCCAGGTATCTAGAGCCGTGGCATCTATCCAGTTGGTCCGATTCAATAACATGACTGCAATAGTTGTGAACCTTCGTGCCTTTCGTAAAATCTTCGTCCTCCTCATCGTAGCTCCAAGTGTCGACTTTTCCGGGTGTTGCACCTTGGGCGAACATTGGTAATATGTCTGGGGAACCGAAGGAGAAAGTATGACTGGATTGATTGAAGACAGAGTCAAAGTGAACCTGGAGAAAGAATGAAACATTGCTCGCGGTGTCCTTTGTTGCAATACTGACCGGATTCGCTTTCCAACCCTGTCTCAAGAGTCTCGTCAATATAATAACAAGGAAGGAATTGACTATCTTTACCTTGGTCACAGCAGAGACATCCTCATACATACCCCCTTATGTTTTCTTAGCTCAGCCCAATATTACTGACGTATCAGGCAGCGGCGTACCAATGATTGCGACATGCCCAGGTCGACTTTCCGTTGGTACTCGAGTGTGCGATAATCCAAACGCCCCCCGTGTTTGAATGATATCGCGCAAATAAGGTGCTACAATTTTGGGTGAGGAAGGAACGAAAGAGAATGCGTTCACACTAAATAGGAGGTCTGCGCGTAGACCGTCTCCTGATAGAAATTGTCGGTTGAGCAGTTGGTGCTACGGAAGGTGGAGCTATACTTGCCCACAATGAGAACGACCCGTTTGGCTTCTCCAGGGCCAGCCCTGCGAGGAAGCATGCCATGGACGACTGGGCTAGTGAAGTAGCAGTCAAAAACAGAAGCAATGAATATGACGTGGAAGATGAGTCCCAGTGTTAGCAGTTTGAAAACATTTTTATGGGATGACACTGTCATTTGTATGCTTGAACAGAAGCCGCCGATCTGCAGGCTGGCCAGGTATGTCTGTAACACTAGGACTCGCGAAGTACAAAGCGTGTGAATAACGTGCCTTTTCCACATGGCACCTCGCCAATACTCCATGTCCTTGTTAACCTGTTAGAACCGATTGATATTCGCTAGACATGGGCTACACAACGTACGCATCGTTTGGGCTCCCGTCATTCCTTGTTATCATAGTTGCTTTGTATTTGCTATTCACTGGTGTGTCAAAGGTCGTCCTCTCCGTTCCGCAGCACTTATACACTTTTCGAATAGATTCTGGAGAAGCGTTCGATGTTGGTCGGTTTCTTGAGGAAACCAGCCCGTTCGTCTGGGGTTCACTCGGAATTGGACTTTGCATAGGCTTGAGTGTTCTCGGAGCAGGATGGTGGGTTCGCACAGTTCCACTCTTGTTCATCGGCATTGATGTTGCTTTGAAGGGGAATATTTTTGACCGGGGCATCAATACTGGGTGGAGGAGTAAGGACTCCAAGAATTAGTACCAAGAATCTGATCAGGTGCGTTGTTTTTTCACATACACAATGCACGGAAGTGGCTAAGCACTACTCACTGTCAGCATCATTTTCTGTGAGGTGGTTGCAATTTACGGAGTGGTGCGTAGTTGCTCCCTCGAGTTTCTGTGTTATACTTACCCCACTGTGGTAGATCATGGGTATCGTGTACTCATCCAAACTCCAAACGGTGCCCGAAGCGCAGCTCTACACCAGAGATAACTACTTTACGGGTACACCCTTTCCTCTTCGCATCTCCATCGAATGCTACTTATCAAGCTACAGGATATGCGCTATTCTTTGGTGGGCTCACCGTTGGATTCTGTAATCTTCTTTGCGGCCTTTGCGTCGGTATTGCCGGTAGCACTGCTGCCCTCGCTGACGCAGCTGATCCTACACTGTTTGTGAAGGTGCTCGTGGTAGAAGTGTTCGGAAGCGTTCTGGGACTTTTCGGACTGATAAGTGAGTGGAAGCATATGTTTCATGATGCAATGCACTGACCCTACCGAAGTTGGCCTTCTGATGATTGGGAACGCGAAGGAATTCTTACCAGGATCGCCTGCAGTGTCCGCCATACGTATATGATTGAAGGCTTGTCATGCATGACAAGCGTGCGCTTAATGTCATCCATGTTAATTCGCCAAGGTATAGCTGGTCAATGCACTGTCACCGACCATTTGTGTCCGTACACATAGCTACCATAGAAAAGGTATTTTGAGCGAGTACATCGCGTATTTTTTAATTATCGTCCTTCTGCATCATGCCTTCCGATATTGATGCGAAGTCTGATGACTCCAATATCTGGAGCAGACCGATACTAAATTCGAATGGAGAACGCCTGCACCTTTTGCAATTAAGCTCCCGACGATGTCTTTCCAGCGTTGATGCACAGCTGAGCTGAGGAAATGCTGAAAACGGCAACGATAGTTCCTCGCACAGGCAAGTCTCGGCAGCAGGCTTGTAAATGTATATAGGAATACTACAAACCGACGATGTAGTATTTAGTCTGGCCTGCTTTGTCTTCCTTCCTCAGTTTCTTCCATCACAACCAAGGTGAGTTCTAGATTCACGCTACTCAATAGACAAGTGCTAACGGCCACTTGTTACTTGGCGTACACTAGTAACTCGAACGCTGTGTCATACTACTTCACGAATCACGACGCAAACTAGCCTCGACCGTGCCTGAGCATTATGGGAGTAGCTATTGAAGATCGAAAAACCACTCCAAGGGAAATAGCGAGTGCAACGAATGTGGTTGACAACACCAAGTTGATGAGGATGTCCATAAATCTCAGCGTGTCGAAAAATTCGGCATTTCTGATTGAAGTACGGACTGGCAAAACCTCGGAGGTACGCCCCACGCCAGAGCCTTTGTGACTCCGTTGGGGACACTGGGGTCCCTTGTTCTACATAGATTACAACTCATAAAAAGCCCGCCCTGACTTGTCCTTGAAGCTTGAAGGCCGAAGAGACCAAGTAATATGGATGCTCATGTCGGATTTCGCGGTGTTAAAACAGCGATAAGTCTCAAGGGCAGCCTAGAAATTGTAGTTGGTAACTCGGAGGGTTGTCTGGGGATGGTATGTTATTCACACGACTTTGCCAACTCAAGTTGTTGGTCAAAGGCGAAGGTTCTTTGAAAATGTATATCGCTTCCATCGACTCTCACCCCGGTAGAATGGAATAATCAGATACGGTATGCATATTCCGGATCACTAGTACTGATGAGACACTATAGCTAATTCAACAGGAGGCTAATCGAGGTGACTTGTGTCGCCCGATTTCCCAAGGGCACTCGTTTTGCACATCTGAAACTCTCAGGGCAGGAATACCTATATAAACACTGAAGTCAATCATTTATTAGATTTCATCTTCAGACAGTTGCTCTCTTAGTGGCCCGTGGTTCTCCTTGCTGGTACGCCCATCTTGCGTCCACTTTCTGATCAGTCGGTCTTACGTGATGAATGGATTCCACAGCATAAAACTTCACTAGGCCAGATGACTTTATCAACCTCTGATGATTCCACTGCGCGCAACCCGCCCCCCTTTCCTCCCGAACTTTGGATTACAATATTTAGCCTCGCCACCAATGTCCCTGGTCTGCTGAGTTATGATGGCCCAACCCCATCTGATCTTCCGCGTCCCCTCGTCAAAGAGCACGAGCACAAACAGTTAAAAGAGTCTTTTATCACAAAGAGGAATATTATCCTTGTCTGCAGGTCATGGCACGCTCTCGCCACCAAGTTCCTCTATCGGAGCGTTGTAGTCACTCGCCTAGCCACCCTGTCTTCTTTGCTTGTCGCCCTCGACAGGAGATCCTCTGGAGCAACCCACTCTGTTCACGTAGGGTGGTGGACGAAACGACTTGATGTCTTGATACAGGATGACCATTGTGAGGCATCTGATTACGCCCTCCTGGCCAACATCATTCGACGGTTCCCAAACTTGTCGATCGTCAATTTGTCTATGCCCATGCTTCCCGACAATGATTCTTGGCTTCGGCAACTACCCGAATCGGTCGTGATAGCGCTAGTTGAATCCTGCGGTCTATCATTGCGCGTATTTGATTGCTCCGAGTCCATTTTGCGCCCCTGCAGGTATTGGCTCAGCCCTATTGCGCATACGGCTTTTGCTGATTACATTTTAGAGAGGATCTGATGAAGTTAATGGCTGCAGCACCAAATTTAAGTGTGCTCCGCTGCCCAATTTGCTCGCCCAGTGCAAGGGACAAGTCTTCTTCTGCTAGACTCAATGTGCCCGTTATGACCAAGCTGCAAGCGGTGTCACTCACGTCGGTCTTTTTGCGGGATTACCTGCCAGACGATAGAGACGCCAACCACTTCCCAGCTCTCCGAAAACTTACTTACGACTGCACCCCTCCTCCGTTCCTTGACCATACTTGGAAACATTTTGTGAGGCTGAGCTGCGCGAATGTTACTACCGTACACCTCGACTATTCCCTTCAAGCCGACTGTCTTCAAAAAGAGCTAGATCTGCTCAGTGAATGTTGTTTGTCTTTGAACGACCTCGTCGTTTACATCCGTTCATGGACGGAGATCAGTCCGAATCTCACTCTCCCTCCTTCCGTTTCATATTTGGGACTACATTCCAAGTTACGCAAGGCGCCTGCGTTCCATTTTAAGCAGCTATTTGCTGCTCTTCGTACCATTTCGGGTTCGAAGCTCAAGATTGTTCGATTGCTGCACGCGGACGCCGTGGAAGATTTACAGGAGAACCACCAGGCTCTGTTGGAGAGTGAACTCGCTGATAGCACTTCTTGTATTACATTCCGCATCGAGGACAACGAGGGTCATCTTCTGATGGTTTGATACGCGGGTCTTGGGTACAGCACAACACATGTGGTTTAGATATTAGTGTATTCTTAGGTGAGAATATCTTCATTCACGCCACATATTTGCTCACGCTAATCTTCAGGGATTTATTTAGACCTATCATGGGTTCGTGATCTGTGTCCAATACGTGTACACTACAAACATCGCCCTTGCGTTGCTCCCGGCGTTCCGCCAGGAACGCCCTGATAATTTATCCTCTTCATCGCCTGACTCATCGACTACATCTGAAGGCGTCTTTTCAGTCGCTAACAATAGACACTGTCTAAGCGCCAATTACATTGCTAGCCAAGTATTGCTTACTAAGGAATGAGTGCTGCATCCTCGCCTTCATCCTCGCCATCGATCGAGCTGATCCTCACTATAGTCACCCATAGAGTCGCTCACTACACGCATTTAAATGGCCGATGTGTCGGATGATGGCGGATCTGTTGCTAATCAGATCGATCACTCTGAGGAAACCTCCCCAGAAGATTTGAACGCAGTCACCAGAGAGAACGCGCTGAGGGTTGAACGTAATTGCAGGCGTGCTGAGAGACGTGCTGATGCCGTCGACTTGGCAGCCGTATCTGACGACGAGCCACTGATTGAGGTGCCCTCTCGAACAACTTCTCCCGCTCCTTCTCCCCAAGAGACTCCATCTTCCGTTGGTTCGTCCCCATCTCTGGCGATGCACTCGGCCCTGCAAAACTTTGATATCATATGCACAATCTGCTCATACGTACATCGCGGGTCACTTCCTGCCCTTGCATCCACATGCCGCGTCTTCGAGCGTCCAGCGCTTGATGTACTTTGGAGGAATCTGCGGTCCGTAGAACCTCTTGTCAAATGTCTACCGAGTGACCTCTTTGGTATTGAGAAAGGACATATGGTAGGCGTCCCAATTTCATATGACCATCCGCTTCTAAGAGTTCACCAACGCAGGCATTACTAAAACCTCTCGACGCCAAGACATGGAATATTCTTTGCAAATACACGTCTCGCGTGCGCTCCATCACACAATTAGACCGCCTGGCGGTTATTAAGCCCCTCGCTTCGCTAATACTGTCTTGTCCTTTGACACCTGCGTCCATGTTTCCGAACCTTCGCGAATTAAAATGGCATGCAGATGAAACACACTGCGCTGCAGAATTCTTGCGCATGGCATTTGTGCCCACCCTGTTGTCCTTAGACGTGGTGATTTATTCAGCTTCTTCCATCTTTCTCTCGGTCCTTTCATCTCTTGGGACCCTGTGCCCTCAACTCCAGAGAATGTCTGTGGAATCTCGATCTCCAACAAACGACTCGGACATGGTCCTTAAGGCCTCACCTTTCATTGCCCAATCTATTTCACAACTCCACCATCTCCGGGAATTGTTTGTATGGGACCTAGGAAACCAAGGCAATGAGCACCTTGCGCAGCTGCGAGCTTTGCGTAAACTGTGGTTGGACTTGGAAACATCGTCAGTTTGGGAAAGACGGTTGCGCTTGCGATTCCCCGGCTTTCGCGATTTAGATTTCTTGATGTTTTTCATCACCAATCTCGAGCACGCCTTGGAATTCCTGAATTCGCTTCAGGTCATCGGAAGCAAAAGCGTCCAGATCTCCTTCATCCCCACTCTCCCCTTCACAAGTCCATCCACGACGCTATACCAGTTCTTCGCTACCCTCGGGGAGATATGCGATCACGACAATCTTGTATCGTTCAGTCTCGATCAATGTTCCGTAAAAGTTAATGCAAAACTGGACGTCTTCACGCCATTATATCCATGCCGCAATTTAACTCGGCTGCTCATTGAGAATGGCTGTGATATTTCCATGACTGACAAGGAGCTTCTCCAGCTGATGAGAGCCTGGCCTAAGCTTGAAGTGCTGGCTATCAGCCGCTTTGTCTCCATCAAGGGCACCACGATACCTACATTCCGCGGGCTAATCAGTTTCCCTCGGCTCTGCCCTGCTTTGACCTCACTCACTCTTGTCATCGATACTACGCTTTGGCATGGTATAGATCTCAAATCCCCCGGCGGTGGAATCCGCAATCAGAATCTCAAAAACCTCGTCCTCGGCAATTCGCCCGTTGGTTCCCCGGCACAAGTAGCTCTAATCCTCAACGGCCTCTTCCCAAACCTGAAGAAGATTAATCTTAATTGCTGGTATTCGGCTCCAAAGAAATTTTTGTCCCAGCAGCAGGCAGCGATGCCACAATGGGAGGCAGTTAATTTCTCTCTTTTGAGCTTCAGCATCGTAAAGGAGAGATGCGCGGAAACATGAAGATGTCGTCTGACTTTTAGGCTACGCTTTCAAGTATCACCATGTACACTTTCAAGTCTCTCTATGTCTGAATTTACATAGCACCCGCAGTACATATTATGCCACACACTTAGATTTCGCTTTAATAAAGTGCTCGCAAAACCAGTTGCTCATGCGGGTTCTATGATCCCTTTCTCTGGGTACATGAATACGCAAATGTAAGCGTCATGATAACACTCAGCTTACATATGCAGCTCGCTAAAATACAGTCATGCAGATGTCCGAACTTCTATGAAGTCTCGTACGTGACACAGTAACACAGGAATGACGCCACACCAGGTCACCAGAACTGCCGTAAACATATTCGTGGATGGGGGAGTGACATGATGAAAATGCAAATTATGATATATGTTGGGTATCACTGCGTGGATATGACCAATGTTCTAGATGAAGGGGCGTAAACATATGCGTGCAGATTCGTGGCAGGGACGTGATGATGCATAAAGGCTAGATCTTGAGCTCGCGGAACCCGCGCACGTCAAGCCGCCCGGTACCATTCTTCTGCCATTCCTCATCATCAGCCGGTTTGGAAGCTTTCTTGAATTTCCCGCCAGGAATGACAATCTTTCCTGCGCTCATATACGCAGTACGTGACTTTGGAAGCCCGAGAGCCTTACGCTGGCGTCGAGTAAGGGGCTTCTGGGTTTCAGGAGGCGGTGTGTTACATTCGGGAGGGGTGCTAGGAAGCGGAGATGAAACGGCAGATGATGAACGGCTGGATTCTGCGGAGGAGCCAGGGTTGGAGAGGTCAGGTGTTGAGTCATCCATATCATCATCTGCCCTGACTTGACTCAAGGGTGTGCGAGAGGGCGATCGTCGTGAGTTTCGCGTTCGCTTGGAGATCGTGTCAGATGTCGACGATCCAGACGATTCGTCGAAGGAACGCTTAGGTGACCGATGAGCTCTAATGCTCGATGTAAAAGGCCGATGGGGACCAGGCGGCTGACCGGGGACGGGAAGGAGCGAGTCCGCCTCAATGCCCAAGGAATCAGTAGAAGAAAGGGGTGATGGTGAGCGGGATATGGGGAGTGGAACATGGGCAGGTGTTAGTGGTGTATTTTCACTCGACCTAATACTGTCGATTGGGCCATTCTTGGGAAAAATCTTGGGATCAAATTTGGCTTTGCCCCGGGAGACTAGTTTCTTCTTGGCAGGTGAACCGGCAGGCGGTACTGCGTCGGCGGGTAGCTCGCAAACCTCGGGAAGACCAGCGTGCGGCCCTCTTAAATTCGTATCGAAGAAAAATGTTCCCAGTCATGATATCTAGAACGGCAGGTCAGCACGCGGCCTAGGTATGCTACGGAAAATGACTGACGCCACATATATCGTCCCCTCTGACTCATGGGAATCGTTCATCTCGTCGCGCTGCTGCTGCCTCCTTTTCCTCCGCGCGTCTCGTTCGTTATCTTGAGATGATGACTGGTCATCGTTCTCGGCTCCCGCCTTCCACTCGATGACGTATACCAATCCAGGCTGTATAACCTTGACATTCCTTCGCGCAAAGTGCGCAAATGCAGAAAGTTCAAGGTGCCCGCCATAAGTGCCTATAGCGTGTCACAACGCTGCACAGGAAGAAATCAGGAGGGCAAGCCCTGGCACACCTTGTTCTCGCATGCACCGCAGATGGGCGCTTAGTCCACGCTCATCCTCACAAAAGGGTTGATAGCGCTGCGCATGGCTCTCAATCCAGTCGCATATATCTTTGCGCAGTTGGAGGTGCTGCGATGGCGAGCCGTAGAATTGATCACAAAGAGCCCGAAATAGGCAATTGCCATCGCCCACTGTTTGAGCAGCGTAGAGACCCTGCGAGCGAAGTTGCTCCGTAAGAAGCTGAGTGTTCTGTTCTGGATCTGTTATGGGCTGTGTGGAATATAAGAACCAAATGACAAGACAAAACGTGAGTAGGGTGCATGGATGACATGCGTGACACTCACTCTCCCCTTGGATCTTGTTGTGCGAGACCTCACTAGGGTTAGCAACGTCAATAACTCATCAATTGTTGTTATCAAGATCGACGTACATGGCAATGGTGCTTTAGCACGTCTCTGGGATTTCTTCGATGGGCCCATTCTACTTGTAAAAAAATTCAACGAGTTCTGTATGTGAGATCGTGTTGGTTGTGAATAAAGCACAGGTGCCGCGTTTCGGGGTCCCGAGACCCGGAAACCATGAGCTGTGCCTCGCAGCACAGCATACTAGTCTAGTACTTATAGTTGCAGCAGGGGCCCGGGAATTCAATATCTTATCTAGACTGAACAAATGACACACGACGACACGCAAGCACATTTGTAAACTGTCAGAATCTGGGTGCTAAGCGCTAGGTACTGCCCACGTTTGGCGAATCTTCAAATTAGCCCTACTAGTACTCCTGAGTCCTAATGTAAAAGGAAACAACCGTTTTTATCTCAGGGTCTGCATACGAAAGACTCAGCCGGAGTTGGGTCTATGACTCTATGTCCCTCAAGACAATAACGCTTTTAATGTGGCCGTGGAACAATCTATTGCACTGAAGGTTGGGTATGTTTGGATCCTATGTTGGACACGAATTGCTACCAGGCAGAGGACTCGGGATACTTACATGCAGCCAAGTTCGCCACCTGAGTACACATTGCCTATCATCCCAGCGACGCTCGACTCCCCACCTCACTATCACCGCCCGGAGTTGGGAATGTTTTCTCGCCGCCACCTCGATCCGACACGAACTCCCGATAGCTAGTTTACCTATGATGAATAACCATCGACACTACATGGAAGAAAAAACGCTCACATTCTGCCCAGCCTCACCTGTTCCTCGCGCGAAACAGACGGCCTTGTCGTTTTAAGCACTTTCAATAGATGCTCTTGAGTGATCTCGTGCTGCAGAAAACGTCAGCTATCAGAGAGATCTATACAAGAAGAGCAAGAACACAGACCTTCTTTGGCGTCACAACAGCCTTGCTATCCGCCTCCGCCCCCCCAGATTTCGACGCCCTGATTTGTTGCAGCTAGAAACACATCAACCATAAAGACTTGCACCAACACGAGCACAGTTTCTTACTCGTTGCTTCATTTTCGTCTCGTCTGCTTTGGACGCCGCTTTTGCTGCATCCTTCCTAGCGCCCAGTACCATATACTTTACCGGGACCTCGTCACTTAGCCCCACGCCCACCCTCCTCCGGCCCGTCTCGACACCGCCTCCACCATCACCATCTACCTTCTCAGCATCTATAGCAGCATGCACCACCTCCAGATGCGCATTGTATACAAGGGCCTGCAGGTCCGCACCCGAGAAGCCCTCAGTAATACTTGCAAGTTTATCAAAGTCCACCGAGGGTGCGAGCGTTAGCTTCCGAGATACTGCAATCAAAATCTGAGCAGATGTACGAGACAATGTTAAGATTGTGATATATGAAGCACGGTGGGGCACTGACGTCTTTTCGGTCCTCAATACCAGGCAGGCCACATAGCAAAGATTTATCCAGCCGACCGGGACGAAGCAGTGCAGAATCGATGAGGTCTGGCCGACTTGCGGAAGATCAACAATCAAATGATGTGGTCAATGGAGATAACCCACCTCGTTGCAGCGAGGACATAGACTCCATCGAGCCCTTCGGCGCCATCCATCTGGGTAAGCATCTGATTTACCACGCGGTCTGTCACGCCTGTACTGTCATGTCCTCTGTACACAAACATTTTTAGTTATAGCAGATAGAACACATAACAATAAATTCACCTCTTTGGTGCAATCGAGTCAAACTCATCGAAAAAGAGCACGCAGGGTTTGGCAGCCGACGCACGATCGAAGATGTCTCTCACCTAAACAGAGTGAGCATTTCCTTGAAAAACCTCATATATACGTACTGATTTTTCACTCTGTCCGATATATTTATTCAATAGCTCTGGACCCTTGATACTGATGAAGTTCAACCCGCACTCTTTCGCGACGGCCGACGCAAGTAGCGTTTTTCCACAGCCAGGATAGCCGTACAAGAGTAACCTACATTCCTTCCATAAATCGCATCCACAACAAAGAGCAATATGGACGCACCCAGATCTCAGCCTCAACGGAGATTGCTTGAACAATTGAGCATACTTTGTCGGCCACTCCAGGGTTTCCCTCAACACGAGCTTGGTGTTCTTCAAGCCTACATTGCCACAGTTAATGAACCGACGATAGATATCCTCGAAGAGAAACATGCACCACCAATGTCAGCCCACTCTACGTCCGACTTTTGCAAGGGCACATCCCTCAGTGAGAGAGGCACAAATCCCTCTTGGGCCTCTACAAAATCTTTCGCTGAAAGTGTGACCTTCACAAACCATCGTCAAATAGTGAAACATACGCATCAGGTGGTGCTCACCTTCTCAACATCCACTCCCACTTCTGACACTGCCCGCCCAACAGCGACCTGTATCGTCCGCGTGACAAGGTCCCGCAGGTCTACAGGGGAATATCCCTCCGTCCCTACTGCGAGCCGAGTGTACTCAGGCGGGTCCGATTCATCGACAACAAATGACAGTGGTTCCTTAGCCATGGAAAGCCGGCGTGACACAAGATTGGCAAGAATCTGTTCAAGTTGGTTCGACTCAGAAGGTACTAGTAATCAAGGACAAACCCACCTCCTTACGCGCCTCCCTTCCCGGCGGAGGAATGGAAGCGACATCCTTGAAGATATGCAGCGTATGTAGTAGCGAGTGCACGCTAGTCTGGCTTTCTGCTGTGGCGAGGAGTACGATACCACGGAAGTTGGATGGTGCAAGACGTGCGTTGGAGCTATATTGCATGAGGAAGAGCTCCGTTATATGTCGCTGGCGGAAAGAATCCGCGTGCTCGACCTCTGCAGCACAGACTTTGTCGAGGTTGTCGAAGATGAGGACAGAAGGGCTGTGCCATCGTGCTAGCACAAAGAGGTGGCGAAAGAGTGTACCGAGGGTTTGAGCGGGCTTGGATGCGAGCGGGGAGAAGTCGATATAATGTATGGCTGATTGATATTTTTTGATATCGACGGTTTCAAGTAGCGACGAAAATGATTGAGCCAGAAAAGCATTAGAGCATAGAATATCCCACTCACAAGCATACACGCGCTCATCTGCTTCCAGTCTGCGCGCGATCTCCTTCGCAACTGATGTCTTGCCCATTCCCTGACGGCCAGTTATCAGGATTCCAGGAACTGTGGTATGTGTGGAAGCGTAAGGTTCAAAAATGCATCAGAATGCGCCAGAAACAAAGTCCGATACACATACCTCCCCGAATGACATCCTTGCGCGCATGTACGACGTAGTTCGCGATGCAAGTCTTTGTCGTGTCTTCGATAATATTGGAGACACCTGATAGGTGAAGCGATGATTCAGAGGGTGTCACTAATTCTGGTGAGATCGCTGTGGAAGCTGAAGGAGGGGATGATGGGGATGAAGGACTGACGGAATGATCAGCTTATGTCGCAGCCAAGGGAATGCACAAGCGTACTCGTCGAGGTTTCCATTGATTACGGGCCCTTGCTCACGGGCACCTGTGAGCGATATCCTACAAAGTCATTGTATTAACAATGGTGGTGGAACTACACACAAGAAAAGAAAGCGGCGCACCGAACGAGATCCCAGTCTTCGACCCCACCCTTCACTTCACCGACAAACATCACATGGGTCTCCAAAACGCGATCAGAGATTCCCAGCCACACTTCCCACACAGCCTTTCCGTCCCCTCCATCATGCTTTTCTCCCGACTCTCTTTTTGATCCCGAGTGCAATATCTTTGCATCGCCATCCTCCTGCTCAGTTTCAGCACCTGGGTTGATGTTGACGTTGTTGCCGGTACCGGAGTTCATGATATCCGTGGGATCCTTGGGTGGCTCCAGCCGACGTGCATGCGCACACCACCAACCCGAACGTGGAGGGTCAGGATTTGGGTCGAACGGGATGTACTGAGTCCCCGAAAGCAACGATAGAGTGTAAGGATGAATATATGCGCGCGTTTTGGCATCACGTAGAGTAGTCAGTTCAGGGACGTTAACAAGGCGCGCGGGGAGCGCTCGGAGGATTTCAGATGGATATGAGGGTTTGTCTTGCGTCGGCGCAACGGTTCCATGCTCTAAGCTTGTTGAAGATGAGGTTTTGGTTTCGGCTTTCGATTTCCTGTGCGACTTGGGGGCAATGCTAACCTCGGTATCGGTTGCGAGCAGCGCTGCGGTCACAGACGTATCGAGCGAGACTTGTGATTGAGGGAAGATCAGTAGGGGATATCAATGTGAATAAGATAGTATGATGGCACACACCAATTCTTAGCCGTACTCTCGTCCGCCCGAGCACCCAAACATTGATCTCTTGTCCAACATTCGCGACTCGCACTTGGGAGAGGAGAGTACCTTCAACGTGCGCTGCATGCAGTTCCTGGAATAAGTGGAGTTAAGCCAGCCAGGCAGCCAGGATCTGAAGACCTACTACTACGTCCCAGTCATCTGCACTGAGGGGCTCAGTGCTCACTGTCTTTGCGTATGGGAGGTCATATAATAAACCTAATTCCACCTGTCGATTCGAGCTACACCATCAGACGGAGGAAGGAACAGCTGTGCGCGGGAATAGAATGCGCACCACATCTCCTTCTTTGAAGCCCAAGCCTGCCGCGTACTGTGGATCTATCTCTAGCGTCTCTATTCCACGTTCGCCTGCGGTAGAGTTGAATGAGGCAAGGGAGGATGCAGAAGCCATGCCGGTCCAGCCAACATACGCCTCTCTTCCCTTGCCATCGGTAGGTTTTAAGTGGACAGCAAGGGTTTGCGGACGCTGAAACAGTAATCGGAATAGTTCCAATCGAAATCAGAGTCAAGGTACGAGACGGAGAAACAATGTAAACATACAATCTGTCTTTCGAGAAGGGGACCGTATACTGATATTGGGAGATTGACCAGGGATGATTTCAGTGATACAAAGTGTACTCTTGCGCGCCGGGGCATTTTGTAGACGATTAATTGACTCTCGAGTATTACTGTGTGTCTACAGTCACTTCTAGACTACAGACACGACAAATAAGTAGGTGCAGTAAGCTATAGCCTAGGACCAGTTTGGTCAATTTCTGGACGGACGTCGGGGTCCTACCGTACTTACACGATTGTCGGGTATGTCCCCTCTATCATATGTGTCTTGTCATCCTAGGGAATGCCATACTGCAAATTGCCCAGATCTATAGTAAAGCTGTTTTCAGTTCACTCATATATCACAATGCAACTTGATCAGCATCCTGTGAGGGTAGATATTTGTTGATTTCACTAAAAGCCATGATCACTTCTTTGGACCAGACTCGGGTTGTTCCCGTCAAACCAAAATTTGGCTACCGGAGATTGAACAGTATTGGACGCCACGCCAGAGCGCTCCATCCCTTACTGCCTACGAATGTGGGATTCCCCAATAGACCCCAAACCTCGAAAGATAGAGACGAAACAAGAAAAATTGCCAATTGGTGGCACATACTCAGGCTGGGTCGCTTAAGAGGGCAGAACGTACTCAGTGAGGTCATAATCAATCCAAAGCACTGTAGCTGAGCATCATGAGTCCATTTTCCTCTCCCACCACCGTGACTTAGCATCTTGGGCATCAATTCCAGCACTTGATACTTGCTTGATATTGTTGTTTATTGTCTATGGAGCAGTCCTACATTAATTATTTTACCCATGTTATGCCTTGTTCGCCCTTGCAGAAGGTACGTGTCAGTAACTAAGGCGTCCACATGCGAGACTAACTGGACACGATCTAGGGTAGGTTACACTTGTACACTATCATGCGTCCGAAGGTTGAATCTAGCACCGTACTATCAATAAACAGTGGAAGGAAGGAATCCGAAACTAAATGATGCCACTAGATCTTGAACCATCGCTAAGCCAAACCTTGAGTTGCCGTGCAAGTTTCTTCGCGGTGGCCTCTAGCTTCTCATCTCTCGTCCGTGCTACATCCACAATTGTCCGTTTCCTACCCGATGTCGTTAGTACGAGGCCGACCCGCCTCGGCGAGAACGAAATAGACAGTGCGCTGAATGGCACTGGTGTGGGGTCTGGTGTCCGCTTGCTTATGCTCGCAGATCCAGTTCTGCTGTCATTCACCCTGAAAATGCCGGACGATGAAGATGAGACATTCACTCCAGATGGGTTTGTATGCACAACACCCTCGCGGACGCCATAGTGTCGAACGAGGTCTTCTAGCCGGCTGCGCGGTTGCATGAGGTCGAAAAGGTCTTTGAACGAATCTTCTCGCTCGAGGTGAAGCGATGAGTCATCAACCATAACATCTTCGTGGACCTTGAGTGCGATGAAGAGATCGAGAACTTTGGTCTCCCGTTGCAGGGTATCACAAGAGGTAGTAGAAGCAGAGGAAGAAAATGGAAATGGATCGGATGAATACGGAGGGCGTATCATCGAATTGTATGCGGGCAAATATGTGGAGCGCAATACATGCTCACACGCTTCATTGACAATGTAAGTTCCGGCCGTCACAGTCAAAGGACTTGAACAGTACGCACCAACGTAAAATAAGCGATTAACCAGTCGCAGTTGTGTGGAGAGCCAACAAAGTGTCTTTCTCTGCCTTTCGATCTTTCCCTCGTCAATCCCAGGTGTTTGTGGAAATGTCATATACACGATCTTCAACAATAGGTGTGGAGGTAAGTCAGATGGCGTCGCTGCTCCACGATGTTCACCCGGGAAGGGGGGTGGGGGTAGAGAGCTGGCATTAGGGACGTAGGGAGGGGGTGGAACAGAATGCATGCACTTCTCTTCGACGATGACCATAATACGATCAATGTCTTCGGATGGCCTTTATAAACAAATGGAGTTACTCTGGTTTCTGGAAGCAGTACAGTCTGTCGTGGGGGCTGCGCAGTGATCAAGAGTGAGCAGTTCAAAACGCTGATGCGGTAAATTCAGGTTGATCTGGTTGAAGAGGTGATAGATGGTCGAAGAACAGCATCCTATCATATCTTCCCTAACCTGACCTCCTGGCATTGCTTTGCAGTGCACAGCATCACGTGACTAACAATCGAGCCAACTTAAAAGTCACGTGTTTTTCATTTTTCGCATCGAAAATTCAATGGAATAGTATCTCCCTTGTCCTGCCCCCTGCAGAGCCCCTCATGCACATGTTCAGCATATTCCAAGTGGGTACCTTATGGATAAAATAATCGTTCGTCAATCTCGTTATCTCCCAATATCAATGTACAGTTGAATTCTTCAATTGATACTATTCTAACTGCTGTCACAGTGTCTGCAAACTTTTGCTATCCACATCAAACCCATTGATGGTGAGAGAAGAGAGGCATACATTGGCAGACTGGAATGGCCTCTTTGTTATCTCTTGCCTCATTTAACTCTAATGTGGGTGAAAGTGAAATAGAGACTCTGGAGATGGATCCACAACATGTGACAGGCTTTTAGTAGCTTCAAAGAAGGAAACATGGTGTGCTTCTTGTCTCTGTGTGCAGTGCAAAGATACTTCACCTGGAGGCCAGGATCAAAAGAGATGCAGGGGATCCATATGATGTTCTCTCAATGAACTGATGGCCTGTGGGATGGAGGACTGTAATCTCATTTTGTGCACTGCTTTCTTTTCCTGTGTGACATCCAACATGACTAATAGTCTGGAATTTGCTGGTAGGTCTCACTCCCAGGTGTCTGATCAGGAAGAGCATGATAAATTGACGAGTAAGCTCCTATAATTTCTTAGCTACAACATACTCTGATCATCTTAATGTTAGTCCTGCATCTGCTTGTCATTCTCACCTTTGCCTTCCACAGATCTAGTGATACCCTCAGAGTCATCAATTCTTCTGCAAAGGATCTCTGACATCTTCAAGGCCATGACAAGACTTGTGTTGCCATCTATGCTGTATATGCAAGGATGTTGTTTGAGGAGAAATGCATGTCAGATTTTGATGATTCTGATGTGTTTACCTTGCAACCTAGACCTGTTCTATCAGCTCAACAGTGCCTTTATTGTGTGTCCGCAATCTACATATCACCCAAAGGTATGGGCAAGACATTGGTTGTGAAGAAGATCATGTGCAGGCTGAAAGCAGATGATCACATATGTGCTTGTGAATGGATAATTCTTTTCTTTTTGTGAACATGATGGCACAGCCTCTCCATACCCATATTTGATAATTTTGATGAGGTCTGCGCTGCAGAGGCTGAACTGCAGCACAGTTCCAACGCATGCATCATACCAAGGATGCATGCATTCAAAGATGTAATGTTCATTCCTTCACTTGGAAGGGAGGAGGTAGGTTTATTCTAGGATTACTGGTACCTTTTGAGTCGAAGCAGCTCAAACAGATTTTTGCCAGTCTTGTGTTGTGCAGCCTTTCCATGGCACCAAAGTCCTTGTGATAGAGACAAGGGCTACTCCCTGATGATACATTGGTGTGCTCATACTAGGACTGATGTTAACTTCTAGCCAAATACTATACAAAGTCTGAAGGAAATATAATATGGTATGTTGATTGAGCAGCCCTGATGGTAACACAGTAACAAAAATTGATGAAAGTCATGTAGTTTGGAAGATATGCATGACAGTTTCCTATTTCTAATCACTGAGTATCACTAAATGGTAGCTGCGCATGCGTCAATGAGTGCTTGCACACAGAAGAACTGTAACTTATGAATCAAGCTGTCTCTTGGAAGTCCTCACTTGTCAAGCATTGAGCATCCAATAGCTTCCCAATATGCGTAGGCAAGTACCCCATTCCCATGTGGCGGATACTGAAAAGTGCTTTTAACATGGGGATAGGTGATTGTTGGAAGGTGTTAAGAGAATCTGCAGCACGAGGCCAATGTTCTGGTGTGGGAAACACAACAAGAAGAGAACTGGAAAGTGTTACAAACTCAGATAGAGCGTCGTTCCAATAAAGGAATCAAGATCAGGGTCAATCAAGGACTAAGCCTTTATCAAGTCAATGCCTCCCTCAGGAGCAATCTCTTAGACTCCCGCAGGATCTAAGGTTCAAATGGGACAAATGGCTAGCCTCCTTCCCAAGGAGCTAGAGTTTGAGTATCAAGGAGAACCAAGTAGATTCAAGTTAGAGAAAATACAAGTGGTGACTAGGGTTTATATACGTAAAGGAATTGTGCACAGACCAGGCTGGGCAAAGGGTAACAGTTACTAAGAAAGGAAGGTTCATGGGAGAACAAGGTGTGAGTCAGAGATAAGGAAGACCATGAGGAAACAGTGCAGTGAAAAGGAAGCGTTAGAAGTACAGCCATATAGGGGTCCACAGTGATGATGGGAAAAAGAGTGGGGCACTGTAACATTACCCTCCTGTCAATGTCTAAAGTCACCGACTTTAGTCACTAAGATTCTGATAGTTGTTAGGGTCGAAGTCAGTGTCTTTTGCAAACTGCTTCTCATGCTCCTCTTGTTCAAGATCTTTTCTATCTTCGTAGATCTTAAGCTGATGATGGAAGGCCCATGAGCCAGGTTTGGCATTAATGATACAACATCCTTGAAGGGTAGGACAGTAGGCGGTAAGATGTTTGGGAGCATGGTGGTGGCATTCTCAGCAGAAATAGCGAGGGCAGTGGATTTGACGATGTCCTTCCTGCTGGCAGTATTGGCAAATGATGTCATAATAGTCAACACCGTTTGTGTCACATCAAAAAGTTTCTTCAGATGGAGCACGAGAATCAGAGGAAGAGGCAGGTTTATCTTCATCAACAATGATGGGTGGAGCAGGGGATGGTGTCATGGGACGAGAGAGGCCTATTCCAAAGGCAACAGTGTTTCTTTTCTTACCACGAGTGTGGCATGGGTTTCCTGTGGAGTGAACTGCGAGCTGAGAAGGAGCAGGGACAGGGGTGTCATCATCGGAAGATTCTGACAGGGATCTGGGGACTTCTTGGGTAGTGAAACAAAGGGGTTCAGTGGAAACAGAGCATTCCAGTTTGACCATATCTAGGGTGAGAGCTTGCTCGAACCCTTTTTCTATAAGTCTGTCTGTGGCAAGCGCTTTGATCTTGGTCATATGATAAATGATGGAACATTTGGTGGTTTCTTCAGCAGGGGCTGCGATGGTATGGGCATAGCTAGACGCCAGGTCTGCACTGCGGTGGATGGTCATCAAAGAAAGGGAATCAATGTCTTCAGAGAAGAAATGGTCTAAAGGTAAAACGCAAGGAAGAGAAGAAAGGGTCGATTCAACAAGAGCTCACTTGTGGTGAAGTTCGAGCTGAGAACGATGGAGTTCAAGGGAAGAGTTCGAAGATCATGAAGAAGGCATATTCTGGGATCAGGTTTCTAGGTAAGGAGTCGAGAGAGTCGAAGACAGTTTTTATAGGTTTTGAGGATTTCCTGGGCGTTGTCTAATTCCTTTTCAGGGAGCCAGGAGTTATCTGAAGAAGGGTAACCCTTCCATGATACAAGGAAGCATCGTTTTCCTTTTATGTTTCCCTTATGGGTGAGAATGGCTTCTATTTCATATTCTTCTTGTCCATTGATGATGTCAGGAGGGGGTTCAGTGTGGTTCGGGCTGTGAACTTCTGTTTCCCAATAGGAGGATAACTCAGAAGTGTGAAAGACAGGGTGTGATTTCCAGGAGGCAGGGAGTCGGATCTTGAATGTGATAGGGGAGAGAACAGCTTCTACCATGAAAGGGCCATAGTGTTTAGGGGCAAACTTCTTTGAGGGTAGTCCGGTGATAAGGTTCTTTGCTGATAACCAAACTTTCTCACTGATCTTCCAGGGTTCGAACTTCTTTCCAAAGGTCCGATCAGACATGCGTTGCATGGTGAGATTGTGACAAGAGATGGCTTCTTCTTGGATCTTCTGAAGATATTTGACTCGATCTTCTGCTGCAGGGACAGCGGAGTTTGGGAGAATGTAGGGGATTCCTTGGGGTTCATAACCCATCATGAGGTGGAAAGGGGAGACATTGCAGGCATCATGTTTTCAGTGATTGTGGACAAATTCGGCCATGGGTAGATGCTTTACCCAATCAAGAGGAGTGAAGTGGCAATAGATGCGAAGATAGGTTTCAAGTTCCTGATTCAGACATTCAGTCTGTCCATCAGTTTGTGGGTGGTAGGCGGTGGAAAGTGTGACTTCATAGTCAAGGAGTCTTCCAAGTTCTTTGGTGAATTTAGAGGTGAACTGGGGTCCTCTGTCAGAGATGATCTTGTCATAGAGTCCAAATCTGAGAAAGACTTTCTTGAAAAAGAGTTGGGCGACTTCTTCTGACGTGATGGTTTTCTTGCATGGTGAGAGAATTACCCCCTTCATAAGGCCATGGTCTACCACGACCATAACCAAATCAAAACTGCCTGATTCAGGCAAGTCAGTGATTAGATCTACAGAGATCTGCGAGAAGGGGCGAAGTGCAGAGGAAGGGATAGGGTTCAGGGGTGGAGTGGAAGGGTGAGTGTCAGATTTCATTTGCTGACATAGGGTGCAACCTTCGACGTATTTGTGGATAAATGTGCCCATTCCGGGCCACCAATAATCTCGCTTGACTAATTCTTCAGTCTTAAAGCATCCTGGGTGTCTGGCAGTGGGATGATCATGGTGAAGGTGGAGAATGTGGTGTCGGAGATGAATGGGGACATAAGCACGGTTTTTATAAAACAGAGTGCCATCATCAAACTTCCAATCAGAGAGGGCGGATTTCATAGGAGGTGCGTTCAGCCCATCAAGGGCTTGTTGTGCAGCAAGAATGACAGGATCAGAGAGGGGATTAGCGGTCTTCAGGGCATTGGCGAGGTCATTGTCAATAAGATGGGAGAACATGGTGTCCAGGAGAAGTGTGACATCAGAGTTATCTGAGGGGTCAGAAGAGTGGTCAGGACGGCGTGAAAGAGCATCAGGAGCAGCAAGTTTGCTTCCTGGGATGTGGTGAAGTTCAAGGTCGAATTCATTCAAGGTCAACTGCCAACGTGCTTGTCGGCAAGTGAGGTTCTGTGCAGAGTGGAAATAGAGGAGATTCTTGTGATCAGTGAAAACGATGACAGGATGAGGGTTCCCTTCAAGGTAGTGGCGCCATGCTTTCAAAGCACAGATGATGGTGAGGAGTTCACGATCATAGATCTGGTAGTTTTGTTTGGTGGGGTTAAAAGATTGAGAGAGATAGCCACATGGGTGGTAAGCACCATTCTCGTCAGTCTGAAGGAGGACTGCTCCAGTGGCAACAAGTGAAGCGTCAGTTGCAAGGGCGAATTGTCGGGAAGGATCGGGGTTTCAGAGGATGGGTTCTGATAAGAAGCACTGTTTTAGCTTTTCAAAGGAGTTGGTGCATGATTGCGACCATGTGAAGACAGCATCTTTCTTTGTCAGGTCTATCAAGGGTCATGCGAGGTTGGAGTAATGGGAGATGAAGTGGCAATAGAAGTTGCAAAACCCTAAGAATGAATGGACTTCTTTCACTGAAGTCGGAGTTGTCCATTGACTGATACCAGATAGTTTGGCTGGATCCATTGCAACTTGTCCTGGGCGAATGATCATTCCAAGATAGTCAACTTCTTGAGCATCAAAAGTGCACTTTTCAGGTTTCAGAAAAAGGGTCTCTTTTCGGATGATGTCAAGGACATGGCGTGTTCATTTCTGGTGTTCTTCTAGGGTTTTTGAGAAAATGAGGATGTTGTCCATATAAATGATCATCCAGCCTTCAGCGATTTCTTTCTGGAAAGTCTGATTCATATAGGCTTGGAATGTTGCAGAGGAGTTGCATAAGCCAAAGAACATAACTTTTGGTTTGAAGAGTCCGAAGGAAGTGGTGAACGCTGCTTTCCAGCGATCATCAGGGTGGATCAAGATATTATTATATCCAGATTGGACGTCCATCTTGGTGAAGTATTTGGCGTCCCTAAGCTTGGCAATGAGGGGAGGGATCAAAGGAAGGGGATAGGCGTTCTTTATCATCCATTCATTGATGTAACAATAGTCTTGACAAGGTCATAAAGATCCATCTTTCTTTCCTACAAAGAAGAATCCGCTGGCTTGCAGGGATTTTGAAGGTTGGATAAAATCTTTAGTGATGTGTTCATCAAGAAAAGCTTTTACAGCATTGGTTTCTTTTGGAGACAAGGGACAGGTTTTCACGGATTTCAGGATATATCCAGGTTTGGTTTCGATTCTGTGGTCAACACCTGGTCGGGATGGAGGAAGTTTGTTTAAGCTGTCTTTGGCAAAAACATTGGTGAAGTCATGAAGATAGTCAGGGACAAGTTCTTCAAAAGTCTTCTTTTTCTTTTCTTGGGCGTCTTTGAGAGGGAATTCTTGAGCTTTATTGCTAGTTTTCAAGTATTCTTCATCTTCTTCAGTCTTCCGTGCATAGATCCAGGAGTTTCTTAGGGGAGATAGAGCTGCAGCTTGTCAGATCTCAGAGGCAGAAGTGCCATCATGAGTGAGAGGTGTGTCGAAGGAAAGGTTTTCGAAAAGAGTAATAGAAGAGCCGTCTTTGGCATATTCGATTAATACTTCATCGTCATTGATGGGATAAGTGACAGGGTCATCAACTTTTTGAAGGAAGGTTGGTTCAGTGGGAATGTCATCCCAGACATCGTCTTTGGTGTCATATTGGGGTAGAGGATCTTCATCAGGATCTGGCCAAAGAGGTGGGAGTGGTTCTTCCTCTTTCTTCTTTTCTTTTTGTCGTTCAAGAGTTCTTTTCCCATTTACAGGAAGTGGAGCACAGGCAGGTTTAAATTGTTCTGGGTCTTCTTCTTCTTCGATTGTGACTTTTCTGCGGGGTGCAGGAGAGAAGCCCCATTTCTTCTTGAATACTTCCTCTAATCGAAGTGATCTGGGGGTAGAAGGAAGTCGAAGGGTGTCTTTAGCCCAGTCGATATCAGGGTTCATGGTGGAAAGCCAAGGTTTTCCAAGGAGGATCATGTTGTTATCACTCATGTTCATGACATTGAATTTTCCGATCATGAGTCAATCATCAATCTTGATTGCAAGGTGACAATAATGGGTGATGGGGTCCTTGGAAATCTTTCCATCAGTGGTTTGGATAGGGAAAGGAGTTTCAAAGCGATGCGTCTTGATTCTATGTTTTCTGACAAACATCCAATGGATGAATGTGGCAGCTGCGCCACAATCGACAACAGCGGTGGTTTGCAATGATTTATTGGGGTGTACGGAGGAAAAGATGGTCACCGGGACCCTTAATTCTTTAGTTTTTCCTACATTGTGTGCGATATGTACATCGATACAAGGAGTGGCTAACATTGCGGTAGGCTCCTGGTTCAAAAATCCATTCTTCGGGCATTGAGATCTTCATCGTCATCGAGATCTTCAATCTTGCTGGTGTCTTCTTCTTTAGGTGCTGTATGCCTTACCATTTGCTTTCCTTTATAGTTATTCTTTCTGGCATCTCCGTTTCGGGGGTGGAATTCTTGATCATTAGATCTATGACTGACTTTTCTACAGGAGAAGCATTTTCCTTGCTTCATATACTCTCTTTTATCATTCTCAGAGAGGTGATCAACGTCCATAGCATTAGGATTGCTGTTTCTAGGGGTGAAGCGTGGGGTGGATCGGCGATCATTGAATTGAGTGTTTTTGTTGTTCTGGGGTCTGTGGGAGAGGAGAAGCTGATAGGAGTTCTCGATGGATATCACCTTTTTGACTATTCCATCAAGGGTGTCAGGGATCTCTCCAGAGTTGCAGAGTTTTGTAATGAGTGGCTGTTTAAGGCCTCAGAGGAAGTAATCTTTCTGAGCGTTGAAGCTGTAGATCTCAGCTCAGTTACAGAGCTGTCAGAATGTGGCTATGTACTTGCTTAAGTCATTGCCTTGTTTAAGGGCATGGAGCTTATGGAGCGCAGTACCAGCTGAGTTGATTGGATTAAAGGTTTCTTCAAACTGGGAGATGAATTCGTCCCAAGTTCCATATCCATTCTTTTCTCCATGAGTGGATGTGGGATCAGGCTGTTGGGCATGTTCGATGAAGTCTTCCATCCATGCTGCAGCTGTACCTTCTTTCATAAAAGAAAGAGCGAAGGTGATCTTTCTGGTGTTGGTATCATAGATTTCATCATTTGTGTCAAGGTAGAGTGTGATAAGACAGAGGAACTTTGAGGTTCCATCTCAGTTTCCATCAAAGTCGGGTGGGGTGCAAATCTTTCTTTCAATTGGTTTAGGCATGTTGTCGTCAGTGTCTGAGTCTGTGTCTGTGTCTGGTTCAGGGGTAGGGAATCTGGGTGGTGCTATCGGTTCAACAGGTGGAGCATCAGGGATTTCTTCGTCTCTGTCTTCTACGGGTGCTGGTGCACTTGTTTCAAAATGAGAAATGATAGTGCGGTGTGTAATGGAAGATGGGCCTGGGACAGCAAGAGTAGGGAGAACAGGAGTGTGGGGAGTGTCAAAAGATCCTTGCAATGAAGAGGTTCGTCTAGGGGAGTTCGGTGGATAGGGACTATATGGGATCCTGGTTCATTCAGAGAAAGCCTTCTTGCTTTTCTTAGAGGGTGCCACTTTGGCAATCAATTGGTTTTGTGGGTTCAAAGAGTAAAGCCCTACAGATGGAGGGGTTCAAAGGTAACTTGAATCTTTTGTTACGAACTCGGATAGAGCGTCGTTCCAATAAAGGAATCAAGATCAGAGTTGATCAAGGACTAAGCCTTTATCGAGTCAACGCCTCCCTCAGGAGCAATCTCTTAGACTCCCGCAGGATCTAAGGTTCAAATGGGACAAATGGCTAGCCTCCTTCCCAAGGAGCTAGAGTTTGAGTATCAAGGAGAACCAAGTAGATTCAAGTTAGAGAAAATACAAGTGGTGACTAGGGTTTATATACGTAAAGGAATTGTGCACAGACCAGGCTGGGCAAAGGGTAACAGTTACTAAGAAAGGAAGGTTCATGGGAGAACAAGGTGAGTCAGAGATAAGGAAGACCATGAGGAAACAGTGCAGTGAAAAGGAAGCGTTAGAAGTACAGCCATATAGGGGTCCACAGTGATGATGGGAAAAAGAGTGGGGCACTGTAACAGAAAGTAGACTTCTAATGTTGGGCTAAATGTGCTATGCCTAGCTGCTATTCAACCCTAAAGGGTTTCTGGACTAAGCTCAGTGCTCAGAGAGAGTAGAAAATCATGCTATAAACTCTCAGTCTCAAACTGGTACTGGTAGGTGGTGAAAACTATGATGATTACATAAGCACCAAAAGTGCGGACATAACACTAAGCAATATCTGCCTATACAAGCCCACAGAATATGAAATCCCTACACTGGTTTGATAAATCCATCACTTTGAATCACAAAGGTACCCTGATATTTGAGATCTGCAGTGTAGATACCCAAAAGGCGACATAATTTCACATATGTGCGCTGGTGAGGAAAGTATAGTTGTTCAGCAAAGACATTGAGCTGGCAGATGGGGGTGTCATCTGGCATCCATTGCACAGAAATTGATGGGGTGATGTAAAGGTGCAAGTCGTCGCATGACTTTGTCATCTTGATGACATGAGGTGTATAAGCATGCAAGTGAACTTGCTTACTTGCCTGAATGTCAGGTAATAAGACGTTAGCCTTGAAGGGGCTGACAATGACTAGCACCTGCATGCCTGGGGATGCTGTACTTGAAAGAATCCAATTAACTGGGCATGTGTAGCTGTCTGTATTTTCTTCAGTCAGAACAGTTGTGGCAAAATCCCTTGAGGTAAACACGTCCTGTGACCATGGCTGGCGGCCAGAGAAAGCAGCTGAAGTTGTGGTGAGGGTGTCAAAAATGGCAATGAACACATGAGACCCATCCAGAATGGTGCCTGTTTGGATGAAGTACTGGATGTCTTCATCAATGCTATGGGTAGCAGCCAACATTGGTGGTGGTCTCTCCACCTTGCTCCTGCACTCAATCTCATGTACCACTTCTCTCTCTTGCTCTTCGTCCAGGCAGTGGTCAGTTGAAATGCCCAATCTGAGGCTGCTCCATCTCTTCATAAAATCTTCATTTAGCAATGTATGTGAAGCAGGTATGTCTGTCAGAGTTGGAGCATATAGCTCTTCCAAGTGCTTGGCCTCTGGCTATAGCCATGAATGGGCAAGTTCAGTGGGTGTAACATCGCCAAATAAGAATGACGACCATGCACTGTGGCAAGACTGGTAATCCACTCCATGCTGAAGCCATTGTGAAGCATGGCGTTAAATATCCGAGCATGTTTCAGTCATCGCCCAAATGAGGATATCCAATACATGAATGTCTTCATTATCATGCTTGTTGTTCACAGCTTGAATGCTGCAATCTATTTCTGGAGGTGCAAAAAACATGACTGAGTGACCATGGCCAAGCTTTCTCATATGCATGCAACCTGACAATATGTTACCAAATGTCATCAATGAACATATACTTTGCATCCTCACCTTGGACAAGGTGATCCTTGGTGACCTTTGGCCCTAATGTGACAGCTGTGTGGAATCCCTGAGGCAACTTCACGTCTATTCCTCTGGTGTGTTCATCATCCAGATACAATACACACTGGTCTAATTGCTGAGCAAAGGAAGATGCCAAGAATGGTTCTATAACATGATCCCGAGTGTGCACCACAAGCTCATCGTGCTTGTTGAAATAAATTGCCACTTGAGCATCTTGATTGATGTCCAGCCACATCTTTGCCACCTTGTCATTCTGCAAGTCAAGCACTTGTGCACCCACATCGAGCAAGACGTGTATTTCAGGCGACCGGCTCATGATGACATTAAGGAGCTCTTCAGAGCCTCCACTGGCAGCAATCGAATCATAATGATCATTCTCTTGTTGCAAAAAGTGACTGAGGACTCTGGCATTTGTACCACGCTGGTGGTCTAGTGGATGTTGCATTATGGTGGTGGATAGCAAGTAGCGAAAGTTGTTTGTTCCACTGAAGCCTGTGGTAGGCAATCCAGAAAACTTTTGCTCCACAAGATCCCAGGCAGAGCAAGATAACTTGTGTGGAAACTCCTTGGCTTCCTTTGGAAGGACAAACTGAGCTAAGAAGAAGTCTATGACGGCCTTGTTGCACCTGAAGAGAGGTACCAAACAATTGGTGAACTGTTCAGTAGACTCTATATTGATTCCACTGAGGCATTGCAGGTTATCTGGAAGTGAATCTGAAGACAGCCCCTTGATCCATATCTCATATTCCAATGCAGGATTGCCTTGCTTGAGTAGCTGGTGGAAGCAGAGGGCCACTTGTTTCTCAGTGAGGCCTCCATAGTAGTACAAAAGACATGTGAGTGCAACTGTGATGTCTGGATGTCCAAATTCCACTTGAGATGAGTGAACATCCTTAGCATGGTAAGGCACAGTGAGTATTGTGCATTGAGGATCCAGACTGTAATCTACGCACTATCGCTGGTCCTTCAGTGTGTATATCAGTATGCCATGTGCGAGGAGTCCTTGAATGAGCAGTAGTCCATGCCACAGACTGGATCCAGCGCAATAATTCCAGACATCACAAAGGAGCTGTGGTGTGGGAAACACAACAAGAAGAGAACTGGAAAGTAGACTTTTAATGTTGGGCTAAATGTGCTATGCCTAGCTGCTATTCAACCCTAAAGGATTTCTGGACTAAGCTCAGTGCTCAGAGAGAGTAGGAAATCATGCTAAAAACTGCTCAGTCTCAGACTGGTACTGGTAAGAGGTGAAAACTATGATGATTACATAAGCACCAAAAGTGCGAACATAACACTAAGTAATATCTGCCTATACAAGCCCACAGAATATGAAATCCCTACAGTGGGTCAATAGTTGAGAGGGTAAGATACTTGTGGATGGAATCTATCATATGACATGGCACATGTCCAAATGCGAAATTTGGAAGGTTACTGGCAAGAATGTCGTCACAAACTAGTTCAACCAGTCTTTCTCCTGCACGAACATCCAAGACTCTGAGTGGGAAGGTTCCGATAGCACCTAGCTGGAATTCCACTCCAAGAGGAAATTCTTGGTGAAGGAGGTGAGCATGCTTTACCACAAGGGTCATCACCTGTTGTGTTGTGGTCCATCAATCAGGATAACCTTCCAAGTGTTGTTGGTCACCCATAGTGTAGATGAGTTGGAATCAGACATGTAGCAGTTCATCACTCTCATCTAGTATGTCACAAGTGTGCATATCAAGCCACCACTGAGTATTCAGCAAGGGCATGGCCAGCCCTGCTGAGGATTGTCCAACTGCATTTGTGGGCAGAAGCTGCTGCTCTATGGTTATCAACTTAAAAGAGAGGATATGATCTGGTTAAGCAACAAGGATACTGCCAACAGCTTTGCACTCTTCAAAGAGTGATTGGATGATGTTTGCATCATCAGAAGTAATGGGCAATGAATGCAAGAATGGCAGATAGAAAATTTGCCTGTTGGTAAGGCCGCTGATCTGTTCTATGAGCAACTGAAACATCTGAACAGCCAAAGGTTTTAGCATGATGACCCATACCAAATTGCTGTGATCTGCCAGTGTAGCACAACAAACAGGTATGATCACGGAAGATTTTCCTTCCCCCATATGGAGCTGCAGCATGGTATTGTTGCCAGAGCTTGGGGAAATCATCTCCATTGCAATGCTGGCTTGCATGGGATGGATAAGAAATCAGTTCTCTGCCTAGTACTGTTAGTGATCAATTGTACCAACTGTTGCCAACCATTGAATACCTGAATTAGAAGCCAGTCCAGGTATTTCTGTGTATCATCCACTCCTAAGTGACTGTCATTCACCAGCTCCTTTAAAAACTCCCCATTGTCCCCACCAGCTGCCAACTTCAACTTCAGAAGTTGTTGTGATCTTTGTAATCAAAGAAGAATATGGGTGAAACTGGTCAAAGGGGCCATCCATGAGTCACAGAGAGGCATTTTTGATGTGGAAGTGAGAAGACCAAGAAGAAATGTGACAGTAATGCATGGCCATTGCCCAGAATTGAATAAACTCTCCTCCACCAAACCCATGGGAGCTAGATGATCTTCCAATCTGCGAAAAGCATTGTTATAGAGCCTATTGCACCACATATTATGATGTTGCAACATATTGACTGTCCAGTGGGTTGGGTCCAGTACAATGGGTGATTGTTTGTTCTCTAGGTCGGTTCTGCTATCATCTAGATGTTCAGCATAGTGGACACTGAATTTGTCTGATCAACATTGCGAGAACTTCAAGATAACATCCTCTAATGGAGATGAATCAAGCCCACCACCAAGGGATCTGTTGCTTAGCAATGTGCTACTTTGCTTGAGAGGGTCAGGAAGTAATTTGATGACTGGTGGAGGCTTTCTGAACAGGTCTTGGGTAAGAATGGCAGTAGTGACTGATATAATATCTGAATTGTTTGGAGTGAATGCATATGATTGCTTGATAGAGGGCATGAAAGTCTGCCTCGCTTCACCAAGCACATCCTGTACACAATCCAGGTATACCTTCAGACACCGGTTGCAGTAGCAGTTTGAGTATTGCTTTTCAAGGGCAGCTCTAAGGGCAAGCTTGTCATATCGGGAGTTGCTTAGACACTGCAGAGCATGTGCAGGGACAGAATCACAAGGCCAACAATCAAGAAGGATACCAACTGCTGCTTTCTGTTCATGTAGACACTCAGATTGGAAGTGCCTTTGTTGCTGAATATTAAAGTCACGGGATGACTCATTGTTGCAACTAGACCATGATGCCTCAGGACTTCTGTGGAAGGTAGTATGAGAAGAGATGTAGTGGCAGAGATCCTGTTCAAGTGGTTTAATCCCAAAAGAAAGATCATATATATCATATCTGGGGGAGCAGATCACATGGAACTTGGGATTAGCTGCAAATGCAAACATGGTTGTGGCAAGCCCCACATTTTCTGGGGAGGAGTAAGCCATGGCTGGTAAAGTGAAAGCAAGTTGAAATGTGTGAGTCTCCTGGTCTGCATCACAGCAAAGTTCATAGACAGACATCCATCTCTTGGCCAAATCAGGCTTCAACCACTCTTGGTCATATCAAAGGGATATGTTGTGAGTTTCCCCAGAAACTTCACTCCACTGAATGAAGACATCATAGAGTGCCTGGCAAGGTTCAAGTGTGACACTCCAGTCATGCACCATGTGTGCACAATCAAGCACTTTTTGATCATTGATTGAGGAGCAGTAAACATCCCTGGAAGTATATTCACTGCTTGATGATTTGCTGGGATAGAAGGCATTGACTGGATCATAGGAGTAAAGGAAAGTGGACTGCTGAGAGGCGCATTCCAGGAGGGACTCATTGCATGTTGGAAAATCTGGACAAACTGGAACTGGTATTTCACTGAGCACCTGCAGTTTCTGTGCATATCGGACTATGTTCCTAGCAGCATGGTAGAATGCGCAACTTTGGACATAAGATGATAAACCACATTGCCAGTGGACCTCCTGTGATCTGCTGCTGGACCATGTCCAATCAATGGTCAAGGAACCTATCTGAGCTAGAAGCTCACAGTCAAATGGGTCCAGCTTCATGAAGGAAAAACATGTGGCAGATTGCAGCAAATACATGGCTTCTTCCAAATCAGTATGTTGAGTCAATGGATCTGGAACATGGGTACTGCACATGGTATGCAAGTACGCCTTGTAAAGTTTATTCATAAGACCAACATTTCCCGTCAGGCAGCAGAGTTCTGTGTCAATGGTGTAACAGTGGTAGGGACAACGAACATGATTAGGACCAGCATGGATGGTGACCTGGATATGATGACCACTGGGCTCTACTATCACATTCCCCTGGGGGATGATGACACGACAATCACCATAAGTCTGTTGATCTTTTGGGTGCAAAATGAGCTGGTTAACAAGTCCAAGCATTGTACCAGTGGATTGATCTTTGTCGACAACCATGCCCCTCTGGTTCCATGAATGCAATTCTCCATCTTTGTCTATAAAGAAAGAGAGTCCAAACTGAGGGAGTTCAACCTTGACTTCATCCATGCTACTAGTGACAATTAGGTATTGGGAGTTTTCAAGTGGGCCTAGTGTATTTGCTATCATGCCAAAAGTGCAACTCTGAATGTCAAACAAAGTTGCTTGGCCCCGCTGTGCAGCTGACTGCCCATCCTCCATGAATTGCAATAGCCAGTTCTCACCAGAAGGCTCCCACAGTCTCTCTATTGGACGAAATTCAATCATATGAGTGCATAGGTTAAGCCAATGTACATGATCTTGGACTAGTAATGCAGGGATGTCCAGTTCAAGATTCCCTGGATGTTTCAGCTCAAGGAGGTCCCCATCCTCATGTTGTGACTGAATGACAATGTCCCTGCTGTGCATCTGAAAAAATATCTGTAGGAGAACAGCTAAATTTTGGCTCTTATCCTTCAAGTTGGACTGTATGAACTCACTTTAAAGTGATGTATAATGGCCTTAGCAACAAATTCCATGCCGGGAATCTTTGTGGGGAAAACATCAAACACTTGCTACTTGGTGATGTGAGACAACCAGTTGACAACCAAGGCAGAAACTCACATGACCAAAGAGGGTGATATAGCTAGGATGCTGCAAAAAGCGATCTGGCAGCCTGGTCAATGGCGAGCCATTAACCAATAGGCAAGCCATCAACATATAAAGATGAATGGTTTGGTGGGATGAATCATCAAGAGGCACTGTTTCACATCTACATAAGCCATTGAGAGTTTGGAGATTCAAGTACTTCCCAGCGCATGTGGCACTGGTATGCAGGCCAAAGATGCTCCATTGCTCGATCAAGACCTTCTTGGTCATCTCCCATGTAATTTCAGAAATAGGTCTCTAAGAAGTGTGACAACCAACAGTTGTGTTCAAGAAGTAATCTTGAAATGATTGGGAGAGAGTGGAGATCTAGAAGCACGTTATCCATCACTGTAACAGAGCAGTACACCAGGATCTCCAAGTCCTGTGGTGATTGGAGGAGTACTATGATGTTGTCCGGGCCAACATTGTAGGTGCTGAGACAAGTTGCTGCCATATCATGAATGCGGACTTGGTGTCTGTGACTGGACTTTTCATCTGGAGCATCAGCTTTGGATGGCTCTTGCACCCATCTGAAAGTTGTATTTTGGACATCTTGCAGTAACTTGTATGATCCCTTGATGACATGAAAATCCTCTGTTGATGAGAGAAGGCGGGACACCAGGATGGATATCATTGACATCATTGTGCCCTCCAGCCAATTGGCTTCCATGCTTACTTTTAAGCTTTGGAGCTCATCAATAAGGGCATGTCTGAATTCTGAGGCTTTCAGTTCGTTGTGCCATGCCCTAGACCCATCGGCTGAAAGCTTTCCTACCTCCAAACTAGCCTGGAGCAGTAGCAGGTGGACCACAGGATCACAAAATGTGAGTGTGCATGCTCGCAATTCACAGAGGATGTTGATCCATTGCAGGAAGCTGCCACTACAGAGGCCCCAAAAAGCGATGAATTCATGAAGTGTCAGCTCAGCATGACACGTGGCCTGGTTAGCCAAGCCCTCATTGGAGGTGTGCTGGGTATCCAACAGGTAGGATTGTAGTCCATGATATGGACCTTTTGGCAGCACATAGGTGCAAATATTGGATATGTCAGCCTGTCAAAAAGAACCAGAGGTCCAAACATCACAGGTCATATCATAAAGAAGGAAACATAGCTCATTAATATTGTTAATGAAGATGTCACTTTCAGTGCATGGGAGGGATTTGTGGGAAGTCTGGGGGAGCACTGTCATGGAGGCCAGTGTGATACATTGACTTGGATGTTCTGCATGATAATGTGTGAGTGGCCCATAATATGCGAGCAGGCTATACTGCCTCACACTTTGAATCTGTGGTGAAGTTGGGGTGCATATGTCATAAAGAAAGTGGAAGGTGAAAGATTGCCACATTTTGAAAGTGATTGGGGCACTGAGCTCGAATACTACTGCTGCTGCATCATAGACAGAGTTGGGAAGTGGCCATTCATGAACTTCAACAGAAAGGCTATCCCTCTCCTCCCACTTCTCGCACTGAGAGCAATTACAGTCATGTTGAAGCTGACCTCACCAGTTTGTGTAGTAGTCACATGTGAGAGCATCAATTTCATTTGTGAGACACCAGTATCTGTCACATTTGCTGTGAAGATCTGTGATTCATTTTGTACACTCTGCATTTGCATCATCTTCAATGCGCTGCTTGCATGACTGCAGCTGCTTGGATTGGTGATAATAATGAACTGCGAATGTGTCTTTATTTGCCACATCTGAGAAGACCAAGAGTGTATTGTGGGTGTGATGCCCAGCAACATACTGTTGAAGAACTCTGAGTCACTCTATGGTGACAGCCCTCCAAAGGAGAAGACAATTGAATATGGCAACTGGGACCTCTGGAGAGTACTCCATGAGGAGAGGGATCAACTTGACAACCAGCTTGTCAAGTGCAACCCAGAGTTCAAACAGTGTGAGCAGCATGATGGATGTATTCTCAGGATTTCCGGAATAGGACGGTTGTGCTTTGCTGGAATAACCTTGAGTACATGCTTGAATGACCATGCAAGTGGTGTGACAATCATACCAGCACTAGGCACATATGATCAATAGCACGGTTCTTCTTGCCTTCAGAAAAGGAGATAAAGTGCAGATCATTAAATCCATATATATTGACCCATCCACTCTTACTCCAGTCCGGTCCTAGGAATCCGCCCTCCCATGTCCTATCCATGTCCACCTATCTCCACTGGTGTGTTATTTTTCCCAAAATATCATTGCTAAACAAGCTGCAGGTCTTATTACATGACTACTCACATTCTGCAGCGCATAATGTTTTATTATCTATAGACTCATTGCGCGCTTGCTAACTACACTACAATTCTCACCTACGCATTCTGTTATGAACTAGGATAGTCGCAATGACAACTGTTCAATAAGAGTGACGGTTGAAGTTGAATCAAGACCTTACAAATGTAAGGGTTGTAAGACAAAGCAAAGAGAGTGTCTCTGCTTTGAATATCTGTTTCAGACGACTTAGGATTGGAGGTCCTAAGCGAAAGAGTTATCCAGGTGAAAACCTAGTAAGATTAAAGTAAAGTACTTCTAAGTACATTGCTGGCTATATATAAGACGTAAGTAACTTTAGGGCAGGTACACATATGTCAGCAATGAGTCAGAGATAAGAGATGAGTCATCTAATGACGGCTGCAGTGATAGTGATGTAATACAAATATAGAAAGAAGAAGATGAGTCTAGTGATGGCACGGCATCATGTGGTCATGATGTAATACAAGTGTAAATGAGGAAAATGAATAGGGGCATGTGTAGCTGTAACATTACCCCTCGATTAGGAACAAAGTCACTGACTTCAGTTATCCTGGTTAGCCCAATAAATTGGGTCAGCATCATAGTTTGAATCCAGCAGGTCGTTTTGTTCCTCAGTAATAGGAAGCAACCTATCAGCTAACTCTGTGGCGTGATAAATGGCATCCTGCTCAATCTCCCAACAAGCAAGGGCTTCATAGAAACTGGTGTCAGTCCAAACCAGTGGAATGACCACTTCTCCTTTCAGATCTTTACAAAAGACTGATAAGTGTCCAGGTGCATACTCCTTGCAAACCTGACAGTAGTACACTGGGCAGTTCTTGTGATGATGCCCAGCAGTGCAACAGTTGCAACATATGATGTTATCGATAGTTGCCATTTTCACGGTGGTGACGGTGGTCAACTGTGCTGGAGGAGAAGGGGATCTGGATTGTCATTTATGATTTCTGTGTGGGGAAGCCAACACGGTGTGCTTGGCAATGCAGGCAGATCTGCGCCTAATAGGGTATCAATGTGTAGTGGGTGTGATGGGGGTAGGAGAAGGAGAAGCTGGTATGTCAAGTACAGCAATAGGAGGGATAATATCATCCTGATGCTCAATGGTAGCTGTTGGAGGAATCAGTGGTGGGATTGGAACAGCAACATGTGGAGAAGGGGGTCATGCAACTGGGTTGATAGCGATCTGTTGAAGGTTCAACAGCTCTGCTAGGCTTGCAGAGCTAAAGAAAGAAAGAGTGACTCTCACTCTGGGGTGAGAGGAAGGCCTACTGACTCTCTAAATGTTGGTTGAAGTGCACCAAGTGATGTGTTCGACCCTTAAGGGAAGCAAGGAAAGCAAGATCCACTGGGTGATGCCAGATCAACTCTGGTGAAGTGCACTGAAAGCACACACGTGGGAATGTCGAGCGCGTAGGAGCACAAAGCGTGGGAATAGAGTGTGTGTGGTGTGCAGATGTGTAAAGACTGAAGGATGGTGTGAGGATGTGTGCTGAGACTGCTGAATGGTGACTGATGGTGATAATGGACTGTTGCTGGGGACTAGGGCAACAACTATGATGCTAACTCCTGATGATTCTGACTGCTAGATGCTACTAGACATGATGGTGGTAGGTGTATCTCTCTGGTGGTGGTTGGTGTATCCTGTGGTGGTTTGGTGGTGTCTGAAAACTTCCTAGGCAACAGGTAAGCTGTGCCTAGGCATGCTCCCAGGGCTTGGAAGCGAATAGGGAGTGCTCTAAGTATGTAAATGATGTAAGGACAGGATCCATGATGAAATAAAATATTGTATGATGCTAAATATGGTCTGATATGAGAATAAACAGGAAAGGACTCACTAGGGGACTGGTTGGACAATGGATGGATGCTCCCAGATGCTGCGCGACATAAGGTGACTGAGTGCAAGAAGAGCGCGGTAGGCGCGTTGTCTTAATAACTGAGGGTCTTATATAAATGCGTGTAAAATGTAATGACACCACAATTACACTAGGATAAGACTTCTTGCCAGTCCTCGATTAACATGGTCTATGACTTTTCTTCTTTTGTGGTAGATAATGTGTGAGTTCTTGGGAGGCTTGCTAAACCAATCTATGTGATTAACTTAGCCAGAGCTTTTGTGTTATATCCCAACTTATAAACTTGTCTAGGATAAACCATCTAGACACTGGAACGTGGTTCCTCATTAAGATAATCCTCTGTAGAGACTACAGTCTCACGTTGACCAAAGACTGGTTGGTCAAATAGGCACAAAGTGGTGAGAAACTGGTCTCACAAATGAACAGATTGACCAAAGCTCATGTTGGTCAATATCAGATAACTAGGTGAGAAGCTGGTCTCAAATAAACTAAGTTTCTATTGTAAGAAACTTATGTAATCTCAAGGGAATGTCTTTTCCCTGCACTTGGTACTTCAAAGGGGCTTTCTTTGTAAGCAACAATCTTCACAGTGAGTAGCTCAAACTGAGATTCAAATGATTGCAAGTGGGAGATCCTATTTTTTTGGGGGAGAATGGGCCCTCCTTATATACATTTTGTGTGGGAATATTATGTAAGTAAAAAAGCGGAGCAATGACATCAGAAGTGGAACAGAACATTCCAGAAAGTGGAGCAGAACATTCCAGAACAAATGACATCATCATGACATCATTATGACATCATACCCTGTAGGTACAATTTTGTGAAGTATCTGATGGGTCAGAGCATCCCAATAGAAAAATAAATCAAGGAAATACTAGAGAAAACAACTCAGAAATAATAATACAATAACAAGACACAAAACACAGGCTTTTTAGATAGGTTTTTGTTAGGCTTTGAACTTTTCTCTATGGTTTTCTCTAGCCAAATTGAATAAGCCAAAGGCAAGGCAATACCTTAACCTTCTTGTTTCACAATATCAACTAGGTCATTATGTGATTCCCATCTCACAAATGACTTTTCTTCAAGATATAATAAATTCATGAATCACAGAGGGGAAACTGAACTATATGACCAAGGTTTGAAACCAAGGTATGGGTTGACTAGCCTGATGCCTAAGCTAACAGACTTTGTCTTTTAGGGGGGCTACCTAGTAGTCATGTCCATGCATGATTCCCAAATCATGCAGGACAGCATGCACGGGAATGTGTCACATAGTGCGGGAAAGTGTCACGCCTCTGGCGCATTTTGTGGGAAAGTCATAGATGGTGAGTTATACACTATACCAATTGTTGTGAGTCACAATATGGGCAATCTAAGCCTAGAGCAATCTCGTTCCCTACACCATTCTGTGACAATATGAATAGCTTCTCTGATAGCCTCCTTAGTATCATCAGGCAACAGACGGATTGCAGTATTATGAATGCATATATGAAGGTGATGGAAGATGGTCTTGTGACATTCATCGTCGAGAAGATTAGCGGTATGTTCAATGAGACTAGTGTCTCTGATGATTTGGATGATAAGCCTGCTAGAGATTGCCCCTCTTTCTCCTAAAAGATGATCTATCTCTATGGCGTATTGTTGGGACGTGATAGTGGATTTGAACAGGGCACTGGTCTCAACTTGATCAATGATTGAGAAGTAGTCGGTAAGGGTAGAGTCACCAGTTAGAGTGGAGTCCATCGATGATGGGGAAGGGGCTGAGGAAGATGTGTCAGCAGCGAGATTAGCAGCAGTAGTGTTTTGGTAGTTGATGAGGGATAGTGGGTGAGCGGCATTTTCGGATATAGCGTTCATAGCAGCAGTGAGTTCTTCGATCTGTTGGATGCAGAGGCATAAACGTTCAAGAGACATTGTCCTAAAGTCACAAATGGTGGGTCTTTTTATATGTGGAAAGAATTTTGGCAGCATTGCTAAGGTTCTTTTCTGGGATCCATTCGTTGCTGGCGGAAGAGTATCCTTTCCAGGATACTAGATAGCGTCTTCATTTTCCCATACCTTTGTGCAATAAGATTGCATCAATTTCATATTCTTCTTCATTATCAATGATGTCTGGGGGAGGGTTGTGGAAGTTCAGACCATGGACTTCTGTTTCATGATAGGAGGATAACTTGGAAGTGTGGAATGTGGGGTGAACTTTTCACTGTGGTGGTAGTTTGAGAGTGAACATGATAGGGGATAGTACTGTGGTGATGGAAAAGGGACCATATGCACAAGCTTTCATGAGGGCAACTGCATGATCAAATTCTTTCCAGATAACCAAACCTTATCTCCTATCTTCTATGGGTGATATTTCTGTCCATGAGTTCATTCTGCCATTCTCTGCATCGCAAGGTTATGACAGGATAACACTTCTTCTCTAGATTTCTGAAGCGAGCGGAGTCTATCTTCTGCAGTGGGAACAGTGGAGTCAGGGAGTATATGCAGAAGGGCTCTAGGCTCATATCCCATCATCAGGAAGAATGGTGAAGTGTTATGGGAATCATGTTTTCGATGGTTATGAATGAATTCTGCCATTGGGAGGTGTTCTACCCAGTCTTCAGGGTGATTATGACAATAGATGCAGAGGTAAGTTTCAAGTTCTTGATTCAGTCATTCAGTCTGACTGTCGGTCTGGGGGTGATAGGCAGTTGATGCGGCTATGTTGTATTTCAACAGCTTGGCAAGGGCTTTTGAGAACTTTGATACAAATTGCAGTCTGTGATCAGAGATGACTTTTTTGTGTAGTCCAAATCGGTGATAGATGTATTTGAAAAATTTCTTAGCTACGCCTTCAGAAGTGATGGTTTTTGTGCAGGGGATCAGAATCACCCCTTTCATAAGGCC